AAATCCAGTATCGTTGAGGTTGTAGAAATAATATAGAGATGAGCTCTGAGCACTAATGTTGACAGCAGAGAGCTCTGGCAGCTCCAGGTCCTCTCTGTGAAACCCTGGACACTATAAAAAGCTTGGCAGGACTGTGACCCCACCCTGCTGGACTGCAGCACTGACCCAAACTGCACCCACACAAGTGCCGCACTCACTTCATCCCCCACTCAGAGAAGAGAACAGAGCTGTACATTGGGAGTATTTTTATGAGCGAACGCGGGATTCATGGTAGTTTCTTTCTCATCTCCCCTCTCTTCTCTTCCTGCCCTCGAATGCCTCCAAGGTTCAAATTAGACTCAGCAAAGATGATGCAAGCTCAGTCCAAACTGCCATGAGTGGTGGTGGAGACTTTTGTATTTTATTTAAAACACCAAAACTTTAAAGACCATGAAAGGATCAGAGGAACATGATGAGATGAGGCTGCTTTTGTTGAAACAAAAAGTGTTTGGAGTGTAAGTTTGCAGATTAGCAAGGTCTTTGAACAGTCTTACAAAGAGGGTATCTCTGTCTACTGAAAAGTGCTTTCAAGTAGGACACACAAGAATGAATGATGCTGCCTTTTGACAGCTCTGAACATCAAGGTGGAAGTTTACTAGCAGTGTAAAGAGTACAGTTTTTTTTTTCACATGTATTTTCATGGTGTCGCAAATTGTTCTCCAGCGTGCCATTCTGTTGTCTGTCACCTCAAAAGTGAATGCGAGTCTGACTTTATTGTCTCATTAGGACAGACTTCAGAGTCTTAAATGCATGATAAATTGTTACAGTGCAGCAGCACATATTCACACATTCAACAACACCTCCTGACTGTGCATACTCACCACTTGGACGAGCATACAAACACTACAACACATACACAGGCTGTAACACATTCATACACTTCTCTGTAGATAGCATTAAGAAGCTAATGAGATAATACTTTGAATTCTTTGTAGTGTGTATGTGCATTCAGTTGCCCACTAATACTTATATAACCAGTGAGTACATTGTATTTTAACATAACAATAAAACACTTATCCACTCAGTAATATGCTTGTTTTTTTGTATGTGTTTTTTTGTTGTTGTTGTTTTTTGTTTTTTACAAGCACTACAGGATAAAGTAAATGGATTCCCCAAGTAGGATTTAAGAACTAATAATTATTATTGTTTGATATTCCCTATAGCATTAACCCTTCTTACATGCGACTTGAAAAACATAGTAGGTGTTTTGAGGGGAAAAAACACATTTGACAAGTTATGGATCAAATAGTTTTGTGAACAGATTTTCAGAAAATTAATTTAAATAGAAATTAAATACTATTGGGAATTTTAAAATCCCCTGTGGAGCTTTACAGGACACAAACAGAAAATTGTGTTTACATTGAGTGTTTCTTACCACAACACTTTGTGTTTAACCTTTGATGCTTGGATGCATTACTTTCCTCATAAAACATAAAATATTTTCGTCTTCACTGCATTTGTTGGTGCATTGCTCTGCCTCTTCTGGCATGTATACCCCTAACTGACCATCAGTGAAATAGTGTAAATCCAAAAGTGAATCACACCCATAGACTGTATACAAAAGATGGACATGACCACTGTGACATCAACCATTGGTTTGTGGATTACTTATTTGAATTTGGAATTTGAACCTCACCATGTTTGTCTTCTCATGGACACTGTGCTAACAGATACAGTAGTGACCTGCCAATCCAAGGCAGCTAGACATGAAAGGATGCCCTACTTTAGTGTCTATTTTACTCTAAATGAGACCATAATTTACTAAATGAACATCATGCCGTATTGTAAAAGGGTTGAAACTAGCAATTGAGACCATAAACTATTGAGGAAAACATTTACTGGTGTAATAAATCACATACGAAGTCAAGTTGTGTCCATCATAGACTTTTATGCAGTCTGACTTCTTTAACAAATGCTCCTTGTTGGCCAAAATAAAAAAAAATAAAAGCATATTTAAGTCACTTCTGCCTTGGCGTCACTTGTTAGACGCTACATCCTTCTTTAATATACATCCTATGATCTTCTGACATGCTTGCTCATGCATGTGCACAAACCAAATGAGGACCAAGTTTTTGCCACAGCACTACACCACCACACTGTACCTCTAATGTTTTAGTGACAGAAAAATAACCTCAAAGTTCACTGTGTTGCTGTTTGGTAGTAGGAGTTTTTGATTATGCAACATGATATTCATTAGCACATAGAGTTTGCCCAGTTTGTCCACTTGAACATGAAGGAGATGACCTTGAAGGGCTCAGTAAAAATGGAAATGTGAACATCCACGTTTTCATGAGAACATGACAAACTTAAGAGTGTTTAATGATCATTATGTGGGATAGTGGATAACTCCAGAACAGCTACTTAATGGATTGTGAGTTTTAGTGGTCTGTTTGGTCCGCAGAGCTCGTTTTCAGCTGATGTCTTTTGAACTAAAGTTCTTGCACTAAGCTTTGAGAGATCCTTTCAAATTGTCAGTCAATCAGTAGTCAGAAATGGGTTTACATCCAAAGAATTACATAATTACTCATCAAAAACCTTCTCCTTTGACAATATTGACAAAATGGAGTATAACATAGATATGTCCAGCTACAGTGGAGTGCTGTGGCACCTCTCCAAGCCTTTCAGTTTAAAAACTGGGACACCTGGCCTGCTCTCATCCAGGTATTCCAGGACTGGGTTGTTATAAGCCAGCTGCGCCTTCCTCTCAGCAGACTCTTTCTGTGTGTTGACAGATGGTGTCTCAGTTGCAATGTGCTCTTCTTCTTCTTCATTTTCTCCTTGACCCTCGTCACATGTGAAGCTGCAGCAGACTGTCGTCTTGGTGATCAAGCGGTCAAGCGGTTTGAGAGAGCGCATCCACTTGGGCAGGAAGTCCCAGTTCTGGAGCTTGGCGGGAAGATGACGGGGGCTGCGCGCCTGCATCACATTCACCATGGCAATGAAGATGGTAACACCCAAGAAAGGAGCCCCAACACCGGCCATCACCCGCCAGCCGGCCAATGATAGGCCAAGCACCAACGAAGGAAGGAGCAAGAAGCAGACCAGCAGGTACAAGACTGCAAACCAGCGATACTTGGCAGTGCGCTCACCCAGGACACCAGCCATTCTTATCGGTAGGCGCATGAATGGAAGAGGATACCACAGCAGAATGCCAAACACATTGAAGAAGAGGTGACACAAAGCAATCTATATACGAAGAGAACATAATGAGATACAGGTGCTGAAGTGCTCAGTGCTGAACACAATTCTTCACAGTCATTGTGTGGTGACATTAATTCAATGTTACATCATCAGAAAAGTCTACAGGGCCTCTTTTATTACAATGCAACATTCATACCATCAATGTAATCCAATGACTCACGGTTTTGTTTTCTAAAGGAAACTAAAAGACAGCATTGTTCCCTGGAGCTGCAGAGCTCCTTCTCACATATTCATATTCAAGTGAATAGTAATAAGTATCCATAGAATGTTTATTACATCATGTATATGAGCTAACATCTCTGCATAATACTCAGTAGCCATGCTCATTTTTTTCTGTCCATTTCTTTCTCTGATAGGTTTATCAGTGAAAAGTTGACTATTTTGCCACCAAAGGTGGGAGTGATGCTCTTGTTGTTGTTGGTGGTGGTGACTCCACTCTCCTTTTTAAAATTGCGCTGTAGTTTTCAAATGGCTGTCGTGATAATACTAAAACATCAACCTACCTGTATAGCAGTTGCAAGTTTCTTCCCAGGACTGGCCAAAGCTGCCAGTAGGGCTGTGGCAGTGGTACCGATGTTGGACCCAAGGGTGAGAGGATAGGCCCGCTCCAGGCTGATAACTCCAATACCTGATGATAGAAACATGCCGTGTCAAAGGAAACAAATGCTGTGGTGCTAACAATGATGGTTAACCAAGAAGTACAACAGCTCCCGGGTTCTTCCTGTTGAAACATGAAACGGTGGTTAAATCTATCTCCTCACAGCGAGAGCGTTCTGGGTTTGAACCTGCTGGTCACCTGGGGGGGTTTCTCTTTGGAGTTTACACTCTCTCTGTGCTTCTGGGTGCTCTGGCTTCCTTCCACAGTCCAAATACATGGACGGCAGATGTTTGGTTGTTTGTCTCTTTGCATCAGGATCAGGGTGTAGCCCATCTCTCTCCCAGTGTCATCTGGGAAAGGCCCCCCCATGACCTTCTTTAAGATAAAGCTAATGGATGGTTTATGCACTTAACACTTTGCATTAAGTGCATTACAACCAACCCTCAAGATGAAAAATGCCACAAAGAGGAATGCAGGCAACAACAGAACATCATTTAAAACTGTCACTGCAGTTACAAGCAGAAGAAACAGTACTACGCCACCTCGGGAAAATAAATGTTTGTCCGAGAATTGTTTCCTGAAATGACATCACAGATAAATAGACAGAATACAAAATTGATTGATAATGGGAGGTTAAAATGAACAAAAGCAAATATTATTAAAAGCAACACTGGAATCATAGAGGCTGAAAATGTTACTTTGCCAGATAGGATGACTGTTAAACAATTGGCAGCCTGACAACAACTGACAACCAAAAGTAGGACAATACTGCTCTAGTTTCTATGTAGTTAAATGTATTGAATTTGTGTAAAAATCATTGTTTTCTATCTGCTGGTGAGCTTTCAACGCATGATGCGGTAACAGCGAGATTTGAAGGGGATTGGAGAAGAAATCTGTGGATTAAGAATCAGTCTCTTGCCTTTTAGCTTAGATTCCAGCTGGTTAATTACTTCTGTTTAAAACGATCTCACATTTATCACAGAGTAGCAGCCCGATGACTCAGTCGTCACTAATTTTACATGCTTCCTTCAGCCAGCGGTATATAGTGCCAGTTACGCAACATGTTCTTAGAAACTTCACAAGACTCCATCAGTGGAGATAATCATTCTTATATCCTTATTTGGCCCATTCTAGCTGGCAAATGAGCTATTAGTCAACAGGGAAAATTCCAATTACTATGAGAACACAAGGATATTAGTTAGTTATTAAACAGTAAATCTGGGGTCCATGTACTGTTAATAATTTATTGCCACAGCAGTAAATGTCTGTTTACAAGTCGTGGTGTTTGAATTTATACCTCAGTGCAGAAACCAGTGGCCTTGAAAACAACAGGCCAGTTTATGAGCTGCTAGATGACAGAGGAAATTCTTCCAGGTTTGATTGACGTTAGAAACTCTGCGCTGTTGTTTTCAGCTGCACTCTCTGTCTGCTCGCTGCCTCTCTGTCAGTCTCTGTGTGCTTCACTGTAACAACTTAAAACCGAAGTAAGCACATGAACATTAAATGAAGCCATTCAAGCATTGATGCACACTGGATGTGGCTTCAAAGCTCAAACGCCAGAAGCAGAGTCCAGGCAAGTAACGCAACTGAAGCAATACCACCTCTACAGGGCTGAGCCGCTCAAGGATGAAAGTTGATTCTCAGCACAGTCAGATTCCAGTTTAATAAGACATTACAGGGGACAGTCTCCCCTAAGGCGGGCACCTAATGACACAAACGCACCACAGGAAGAGCTGTAGAAGTCCATCCTTCAAACTGGGAATATGCTGGAATCACTCCAGGACTTTACACAGCACTTTCTCCAAGAACATCCAAAACAAACTGTGGAAAACAAACTAAACTGAGCAACAAAGTCCAGATGAACAGTAAGAAGTGAATGTGGTGTTTTAGTCGTCTTTCTGCGTGTTTGTGACGAACAACTTTTTGTGACCATTGGCATACATCATTGTTATAGTGTTACAAATGCAGAATAGAATAATTTGGACAGTGACATGTGTTTTTGTTCTTCAGATTGAAACTTCAGTTTGAAATAGAACAATAAATACATTAAAGTGCCAGAAGTCAGATTCAATTTGAGTCAGTTTATATAGAAAAGACCTCAGAAGTAATTGGACTGACACACAAGGGCAAACAAAATCATAAGTTTGTGTGTCTCAGGATCTCAAACTGACAGCATGACTGTCTTCTTTTGAAACATTAGTGACATTTTTTAAATTTATTTTTTTAAATTTTAAGGCCTTCTCATAATTGGTTTTATTGTGATTTTTATTATCTTGTTCTCTTATATTTTACTTTGCCCTTATCACTGTGTCAGTCTGTCTGTTTTCTTGTTTATGTTTTTCCATTTTTTGGAACTCTTGCATTGCGGTTATTGTGTTTTGTTTTATATATTTGTTGGTTTATTGTGTTCGCTTTATCTCTTGCATTTTATTGTTTGCTTTGTGTAACACCTTGAAACTTTGTTTTGCAAAAGTATATCCATCCATCCATCCATCTGTCCATCCATCCATCCATCCATCCATACATCCATCCATACATCCATCTATTCATCCATCCATCCATACATACATCCATCCATCCATCCATCCATCCATCCATCCATCCATCCATCCATCCATCCATCCATCCATCCATCTATTCATCCATCCATCCATCCATCCATCCATCCATCCATCCATCCATCCATCCAGGTTGGAGTTGTGGCAGCAGGACAAACAAAACATTTCATATGTGCATTTTTCAGCTGGGGATCTCAACATATTCCTAGGCCAGATGAGATCTATAATCCCTCCAGTGAGTTCCGGCTCTACCCCGAGGTCTCCTTCCAGCAGGTAGAGATGCCCATGAGGCAGATGCCTGAACCACCTCAGCTGGCTCCTTACAACGTAAAGGAGCAGCAGCTCTGTTCCTACTTTCCTCCAGATGTCTGAGCTTCTCACTTGAAGGAAGGAAACCCATTTCAGCTGCTTCTATCTGCGATTTCATTCTTTGGGTCACCACCTAGAACTCATGGCCGGAGGTGAGGACTGGAACATAAGGTCCCCCCGCCTTTAGTCTGGTCTTCAGGGAGTGGGAATGCAGCATGGTTGATTGAGATCAGGCGATTATCTCAGCAAGGATATTACACCACTGCACCCAGAAAAAAATGTGGTAACTTCAGCCCCAATGTTTGGTTTGGTTGTCCTGGTAAATGATAAAATGAATTTTGATGTTGAATCTGACCACACAGAAGGCACCAGGATACGTTCACATTTGTCCTGTTGCTTCAGTCTGCAGTGATGAACTAATGCCAGAGTTCTAGTTACTCTAGTAGTCATGTATGTCCAGGCCCAAACAGAAGCACCACCATATCTACCAGATGAACTTGTATGCTTTGGATCATGAGTTGTGTTGTTCTCTCCACACGTTCTTTCCATTTTTCCAAACAAAGAAGAATTATTTCATGACGATGATTGCTGTATTTTTCCCCAGCAGTTGTAAATTTGTACAGTACAATGCTTGGGTGCACCATGTCCTATTGTGACTTTACATGTGACTTTGCTCCCAAGTCAAGCAGCATAAATTCAATTTGCATGTTTCCACTGAATCTTAAAGTATGTTCTTTATGCTTGAACAGAGTTGAAGAATGCAATCACATGATATCCAAGAAGTGTTGATAATGTTCTCAGGCTTACTGGAATAGATAATGTCTATGTTTTTAGAAACTGTTAATTCAGCATCTCTCATTTTACTTCCAGATGTTGGATGTCATCATAAGCGTCATAAAGTTTAATAACTAAAAAATTTTATATATAAATACATGAATCTCTGTAGACCTGTTAGTGGGCTTATTAACATATTTCTGCATATCCAGACATTGTAGTGCTTTTCTTCACATTCTTTGAAGTCACATATTCATCTCAGTTTTAATGTAGAAAATATCTATTAAGTGCACATACTATTGTTATCATCTAAAGGTTTTCATTTAATTTTAGCTCACAAGAGTTTCCCATTTACTTTAACTCTTTTCTTTGTCCTGCATATCTACACATCTTTAATATTTCTTATAGAAATTGTAATATTTGACACTGTGCAGAGATAATCTTTACATTTCGATTGTTTTCCACAGGAACATAATCTCATGTTACTCACCTATCAGTGGGGTCATGGCAGAAGTAAAGACAGAGCTACTCTGGACCACAAATGTCACCCCTGCACCCACAAGCATGGCAATGTATCCTGAGAGCCACCCAAACGGATATGGCAGGTCTGTTGGGACACACAGGAGAGACAGAAGTGACGCATGTTTCTACTGTACAAACAATATCTTCTACACAACCACTTTAATGGAATTAGAACTAATGTAACAGTTTTTTTTCTTTTAATTTTAAGTAGGCTTTTTTTTTTTTTTTTTTAATGCAGTCAATATAACGGTTTTTAGAGAATCTGGTTAAAGCAAATGATGAATTTTTGGAGAATGCTTACATGAGACATTAAGAATAATCAGAATCACAACCATTTTCACACCATGACATTTGAATTTGCAATTTAATGTGTTTCAGTAAACACTGACAGGTAGGAAATGTTAAAAAAGAAAGCTAGCGTTGCAAGTCAATAGACAGTATGTGTAACAGGATAAGTCAAGCAAGCAACAAGTGGAGGCAATTTCAGGAAATTTACTAAATAGAAATTAATGAAAGTATTTACAGTTTCTAGGAAAAGTGCTAAACTATTCACTTGAGAATGTACAAATGTACATAGTATTTGGTGGGAATTGGTATGAAATGTGCCAAGACTAATAACATTCCTATTTAAATAGCTGTGTGTTAATGTAATGTTAAAGTAATATTAATAAAATAACACAACGTAGATTTGGTTATTTTCTGACAGAACAATATGTCACACATGATACTGTGTTCAAAGTCTGTTGGAAAGCTGATGGCTTAATTAGAAGATCAATTCCACTTTCATTTGTTTTTATTGATTTAGAACTAAGAGGCAGCTTGAGTCTGTGCAGAGGTAACCTCATCCATCTACCGGCACATTCAAATCTCTTTAAATTAGATATTACATTGTGTTGGTTAATACTGTACAAAAAGCGTAATGGTTGTAAATAGAGTTATTATGGTACGTCTGAGAAAAGTGCAGTGACTTCCTTGAATCACACTGAACCTCATGCAAATACTGTTCTTATGGTTTTGTGACCTTAAGCTCTTTATAGCGCTGCTTCCAGTCTTTGTGCTAAGCTAACTGGGTAAGTGTGGCTTCATATTTAAAAGACAGACACATTATCTCACCAAACTCTGTCTAAGAATTTGGGTGTCTGTTTCCCAACATATCAAAATACTTCCTTAACCCTTTATAGGGTGCTCACTGAAATACTTGGACATTTAACATTTCAACTCAGGGGTGTTATTATTGGATATAAGGGGACACTTTTTTCTTTTTTGACTTTTTAAAAAAGTTTCAGATTTAGGCAGAAAATCAAAGTCAAAGCAGTTACCATAAACAATTTGTCGCCAACCAAAGAAAAATAAAATCCAAATAATATGTGAATAAATTATTGTAAAAAAAAATACACATATAAAGATGAAGGAACATTTACACAAGTTATGACACTTGTGTCAAAATATCACTCTGGCTCACTTGTGATTGGTCAGAGGCCACTGTGACTTCACTGATTGGCTGAATGAAGTCACATGATTCTGCCACTTTTGAAGCCAGCAGAAGTTACCATATATGGTTCCTTGCTCAATAAAGGGTTAAAGGTTTTCTTCAGTTTGTTTGCCAACTTACAAAATAAATTTTGTACAAATAAAAAACTCAATCAGCTAACGGGCACCTACCTGTGTTAATAACTTTATGGATGACCTTTGCTACTTGGCCTTCCAGAAGGGAGTTGAGCAGCTTGACCAGAAGCAGCAGACATGTGCAGAGGACAGCCAGGGATGCTGCCAGGAGAATAAGGCCCACCGTGAGGTCCGACAGCTCCGTAGACGCAAACAAATGTGTACCTACAGAGAGACAGGGACCCGCGATCATCAGGCCATTCTCCTTCAACACCCAGTTTTGTTGCATTTCTAACATGACCAGGTCCAGAAGGAAACGCTTACAAGAAATATACAAAAGTTCCAGACTTATTATCGAGCTGAGTCACAAGAGCAGCTGGAATAAAGATGTGATTGAATTTTAACTCACAATTGACACGCAACGACCACAGCAAGTCGTGGGCGGGGCCACAGTTTTCAGTGCTCCCATTACCAGCAACCTGGAGAGAGAAACAAAGATTAAAAAAAGAAACAACTCTGACAAACACACAAATTAGCAACGTAGCATTCACTGACAGCACTGACAGTGTCCATTTGGCGCCAGAGTGTGACACAATGTGTCTGCATGTGCAGGAGACGAGACATTACCATAGCCAGGTCAGTCTGGCTGTGGCACCATCGTTTCACCAGGCTCCTGTTCCTCATGTCCTCATCTCCCATGGCGATCCCTGTGATCACACACTTGTCTAGCTGAGGGTGAGAGGAGAAACATTTTCAGTACAGTTAAGAAATTACAAAGGCTTTCAGGTCTTCATACCTTAACACGGAGGGTCTGACTTCATTTTTCATCCCAGTAAGCGGCCTGCTGAAGTGTCTCAGTGCAAGACACAAAGGAAGCAAAATGACCACGATTTCTAGCCTCGCATGGTGATTCACAATTATATCAACAGCAGATTGACCTCTCAAATGGCTTTGTAGGTGAAGCAGTTGGTCCCTAAATAAATTTCAAACAGAGGTTAAAAAAACAGCCCTTATTGCGAGCCACTGAAATCACAACTGGAAGATTTAATCTGCTCGAGTGACACGGCTTGAATGAAAATGTTTTTCTGACAGTATGTTTCCTTTGACTGAAGGTCTTTCTCTGGTTGATTTAATCCCTAAAACTCATCTGTGTGCATGTAAGATACATGCATATTACATACATTTCTTCGATTGAAATCTCTGTGTTTTCACAATCAGAATCAGAAATACGTTATTGATCCCTGAGGGGAAATTGCTTTTTTTTTTTTTTGGTGACTCTCATTTGTACACTGCAGCTTCAAATCATAAATGTGTTGTCACATTATTGACTGCTTACACCGTTTGGAAATGTTCACAAGATAGAAAATTTGACTTTCACTAGAGGTGGTCTTTAATATGAAGTCACACCCTGAAGCTAAACTCAGCATCCTTACTTGATGGCCAATCTGTCAGATATGAAAACAAAACCAAACAGCTTTGTTCTTGTATTGCAGTGTACAGCGAGTTAGTCTCAGCATCATGGGTACAATTAGTAAAAAGAGTATTTTGTTTGACAATTTTTTTATTGGGAGTTTAGGTTTAAGTTGTAAATACTGTAATGAAAAGCATTTTTAAAAAAGATGACCAATCAGTGTGTTTAGTTCATGCACATCATGGAATGACAACCCAAAAACAAATGTCTGAACTATGTGCTTCTTGGCTTCCCTCACGAAAAACATAGGTTTCTGGGAAACAATGACTTAGGATGCGATGGATTTCTGGCTAACTCTGGTCAATACATAAGGCAAATGATCCCATCCATTAGTCATCAGCTATCCCACGTCATCCTTTTTTCTTTTTATATATTTTTTTGGGCTTTTGCCTTTATGTAGAGCAGTGGAGAGAGACAGGAAAGGGGGGAGAAGAGTGAGGGAGAGACCTGCAGCAAAGGGTCGTGAGCAGGATTCGAACTCACAACCGCTGTGTCGGGGACTGTAGCCCCTGTTCATGGGTCACCCGCTCAACCAGGTGAGCTATACGGGCGCCCTCCAACGTCATCCTTTACAGGTTGGTTGTCTCAGTCAAACTCTGTGCAGCAAGCATCCACGCTCACATTCACAAATTAAGAATCACCATTTAACATAACTGAACCTATACCTTCCTTGTTGTGAGGCGACAGAGCAAACCACTAAGCACAACAAACATCAGTCTTGTGATAAAAGCTACAAAAAATATAAATTTGCAGCACGCATTAACTATTCAAGCAACTTTTTCACCACGTTGACCAGAAGTGCACTGCAAGATTTTCCCCAGTTCTAATTTGTATAATATGACCAAGCTGCAAAACAATGCTAAAATGTAACTGTTTATAGCTGTCAGCCAGAAACCATTATTACCAGAAATGTTATCAATGGCAAAAAATAAACCTGCTAGAAGGTTATTAGAAGTTTAGCACTACAGTCGAGCTGTGGTGCCAAACCAGTGGTGAACATGTTTTCCAGTTGTGGTGAACCAGAATGCTGCTGGAGGTTTGGTATTAGTGGTCAACACTGGTATACTTGAGGTCACGTTTTACAGGAAACACATTACACACAACTGTGATGCACTCTATCACCACTGTAGGTAGTAAGCAAGTAGCATACTAATGACTGCAGCTGATTTAGAGCAGATAAACGAGTTTGTTTTTGTAGTTTTGTGTGTGTGCGCGCGTGTGTGTGTGTGTGTGTGTGTAACAGACACCATCCTACAAACTCCAACTTGGCAGACCTGAGAGTAGTTACCGAGCTGTGATTGGACAGTCTGGGGGAGGGATTGAGGAAACTGTAAATCCCGGAATTGGAGACCGTCTGACTCACCTGTATGATGAGTTTGGTGATTGGCTCAGTGATGACTTTCAGTAGCTCAGGTGCTTCCTCTCCTGGTTGGAGCTTTAAGCTGGAGACCAGCAGGTGGGATAGTCGGGTCATGAGCCCGCTCACCACCTCCAGAGGCAGCAGAACCAGAACCGACAGCCAGTTGAAGCAGTCGTGGATCGTCGCTCCGGCAAAGGCACTGTTGCGGGTCACAATCATGTTCCATTAGCCAAGGTCAGCCATCAGCGTGATCAACTACTCAGACTGATTGCTTGCTAATCGGCTCAACTTTTTTCAGATGTGTTTGTGATGTAATGAGCGTTTCAGTTTTGACTCAGTGTGTGCATATATTATGAAAGATTACTAAACTATATTTATTTCAGCAGACACAGATTAAGTAACATGCCATCTGTTCGGTGCAGTATCTTTTCATGCCGGAGGGTTACTGGTATGGGATCAGTGTGGATTGGTGCCATTATTGTGACTGTTTCAGAAATTACACTCAGATGGAGGCTGAAGCGAAGAGGCTGCAAACAGCTGCTAATGCTTTCTCTTCGCCCTCCTCTGCTTTCTCCCCTGCACTTTTAACACTTTTATCCCTCTTTCCTCCATCTCCCCACTTATCCTCTTCACTTTTCCATTTCACTTTCTTTCTTCCCCGCTCTCCTCTCCCTCTCCCTCGTCACGTTTCCTCACACTCACCGCTGAAACTCGGCTCTCTCCGCTGCTTGCATCATGGCCACGATGGTGTTTGTGACTGAAGTCCCAATATTGGTGCCCATTATGACTGGAACGGCCGAGCTCACTTCCAACACTGCGAGGCGAGACCACACAGAAGGCTACATGTTTATATGAAAGTCATGTTGACAGTTTTTTGCATAATTTAAACCCCCCACCCCAAAGAAACAAAAAATATTGTAAATGAGTAAACGTCTGCCTTCGTTGTGAATGGTAATGCATCACGCATATAATTACTACCCTTGACCTTCCACATTTTGAATGCAACGTGAGTTTTAATGGAGATGAGAGGTGATTGTAATTTCCAAGTGAGTGGAGGCGGCTTTGCAGAGGGAGGAGGGGGAGAGTTATTGTTGAGTATGGTTTTAATGATGATGACCTAGAGGACACTCAACAGAGAGACAAACATCCACGCGTTTGCATCTCTTTCTATCTTTGATAATTACCTATAATCTTCTTCTTAGCTCTCATGAAAAAAAAAAAGACTTCAGAAGCAGTGAATCATCTCCTGCATACTGATGCCATTCACTTTAACTACACAGACGAAAGGTGGCCGACCTACGCGTTGGAGCCTGAGCAGCTCTAACATTACCACATATTGGTCTTATGAGGAATGATAAACTGGACTGACTGAGATGGTGGGAGGGAACACGGCGTGAAAAGCTTTGATTTGATTACCCCTCTGATCCCAATCCACACTGCTAGACGCCAGTAATTCTAAGGTTGGTTTTTTACAGATTGCCACCGCGGCGCTATCAGTCTCAAATTGTCTGTTTTAGGCCAGTCAGTCAGAGTGTGAGCGCGTGGTAATAATCACACAAAAGAAAGCTTAATCTCTAAGTCTTTTTTTTTTTTTTACTATCACCAATAAAAAGAACAATCATGTTGTATTTTATGTGCACCAAAGTCTGATATGGCTTATTATGTGCCATAGACTTCCATTGTCGTACCACACACGGGGTTGTGCAAATACTCACAACAAAAGTGCATCGACTGAAAATAGCTCTTCCAGCAAATCCTCTGTTTGCTCTTCTTTGGTTAATGTTTGCACACACAAAAAAATAAATACAATGCCATCATTTCAGGAGATTATTTTCCCTTTTTCCTAAATAAATGAAAATCTGTATTAGAGACTCTTTGAAAGATGTATTTATTCAGACGAAAAGGGAAATGTAGAGAACCGAGAGACGACTTAACACAATGTTGGTTTCAGTCTAGAAAATAATGATGGCAGCTTTAATTTTTTGATTTATTTTTAATTTATGACACAAGATAGAAAACCATGGCTGTGCGCCTCTGGAATACGTGTGTGTATGTGTGTGTGTGTGTGTGTAGATAGACGTTAGAGACGTTAGAGACGTTAGACAGATAGATAGATAGATAGATAGATAGATAGATACCATTATGCTAATTTGATGCTTAATTCTGAAATGCAAATGAAGGAGCATAATTAACTGTATCTTCCAAAGGGACTTCAGCATGGTATTGGACTCGGAACCAGAAAACTGAGATTATCATTATTATTGTTGTTATTATAATTATAAACTGAAAATTCATTTAGTGTTATTGCCAAAGATGCACCATGGGAATTTTGTATTTCTTTTTTTTTTTTTAATTATTGCATGTTTTTCTGTTTATTGTAATGTGCATGCAAAATGATAGCCTGCAGAGACACACAGGCATACAGTAAACACACACACACAAACACACAAACACAACATAAAGACAAGACTAAATGAGAGGATATCTTTCCATTTCAGACTTAAAACTTACAACAACTCATACGCTGGCAGGCACACATTTACGCACACTTTTATGCGCCTACTCACGTCCGGAGGCCACCAGACTGACTACAATGGAGGTGGAGGTGGATGAGCTCTGAACCAGCACAGTGACCAAGATGCCCACCACCAGGCCTGCCACGGGGTTTGACAGCACCGCGTTGTCCTGGAAAATATCCCCTGCCACTTTACCTGGTTAAATATGCGGTCCACATACACAGAAAACACAACAGACACAACAAACAGTGGTCTGAGAAATGACAAGGCTGCCAAGAGCAATGTTAAACAAGACTCAAAGTGCTTGTTTCCCCCCCAAATCCACAAAGGTCAGCCTATGAAGCTTTGCAGTAAATTATGCTGCAGGGCCCGCTAGGACAGTGTGAGCTGTTCCTCAGTGACTCACTTATTTGTCAAACATCAACCGGCTGAGTCACCATCAGCTCTCTGAGGGGGGGCAGCGAGGGTTATAGTACTTACCCCCTGCTAACTGGAAGGCAGAGCTCAGGGTGTCCAAGGAGCAAACGAAGAGGAAGAGGAGGATGAAGAGAAGAGGTATCTTGGACAGACTGATAAGAAGCAGCTTGATCTTGTTTGGGCTCACTGCTGAGGTTTGAGGAGAGCTGTCTGTTCAAAACAACATCCGGGGAGAGGGTTAGACCTGCAATGGGGCTGAAATCTAGAGTACAAAGCTGACCTGTTTTTTGTAAAACATTTATAGCTGATAACACAAAAATGTGGCACGCTGCTTTGCTCTGTGTTTCATTCTGTGATTTCTGGATGAGAGAGATAGCCTCAGGAAGCTCTCCCATGTAGAGAGCAAAGGCATCTGACGTACTATGTTACCCATATGCAGCCAAACACTGCTGAGTGACAGCGGGACCGGACCGCATGATACCACCGGCATTATGCGTCTTTTGAGTGTGCCCTTATCTAATGAGCATGTGGTTCAGCTGTTGTAATTTTTTGCCTTTTCAAAGAGATCGGCCCCGCTGCCAACTCAGGAGATGAATGTGTGAATCTCCTCTTCATTCCTCTCTTGTACCTTTCTCTCTGGGGGTTGTCTCTGCCTGGTTTAGTGAAGGTTTGTTGAGGCGGTGATTGGTATGTTGGCTGCAGCGCTCAGAGCTGCTGCTGCTGAGGTCAAGGGTGGAGCCGATGCCAGACTCCCTGTCCTCCTCCTCCAGCGGGAGTTTGGGCTGTGAGGAGAGCCGCGGAGCGTGCATCCTCCTCCCTGATAGCAAAGAACAACAAAGCCCATTCAGAATGCGGAGATCACCTTTGAGGCGTTTCAAAGGCATAAAAACAGAACGATGGGGGCTGAAACTAATAAGTTACCGCTGTAGTCCGGCCCTGCGCTTCGTCCAGAGGACACTATAGTTATAGATCGAGAGGACATGGCGCTTCGAATGCTGTGGGGAGATATGCAAGTAATTAAATTCACAGGATGGCACCGCTGTAGAGGGAACACAACTGAGAGCGAATATGTTTATCAGCCACCTGCAGTAGTGACAAAAAAAAAAAAAAGAAGCCGAAGGGGACCAGCATTTCTGTATATGAGCACATCTTTCACAGGGAGATTAACAGACAAGGAGCCACATTGTTTGTAAATCACAGCTATCCTTGATTCTGAGGTCAGATCACACACTGAAACCAGGCATCATCTCGCCACCCAACAAATGAACACCTTGTCAAAACCAGAAAGAAAACATCAGTATCCGTGGAGCTTCACTTGTTCCCCATTTCCTACAGCTGCACGTCAGCTCTTTAAGGGACTCTCCACTGTCTATAGAGCCTTCAAAGTTTTTCCACGCTTCTCTGGCTTAAAGAGACCGTTTCCCCCCCTCCCCTTTTCATGACAGCCACTTTGCCATATTTTGGGGGACTCCAGCAGAGGAGAGAGTACTAATGTGTCTCTTAAAAGCAAAGAGGATGGAAGTAATTACAGCAGCCAAAATTACAGTAATTACTGTCACTGCATCATTCTCATTCTGTGTGGCATCTTCCTGCAGGTTCTGATGTGCAAGAAGAGGCCCCCGTTAGCATATGTCCGTATCTCTGCATGTGGGAGTATGTGAGACGACTTCCATAGATTGCCACCGAATAAACTCTGAGCCTACTTGTATGTGTTTTGTGAGAGTTTTGTGTGTGCCTCTCTAATCTCGCTGCCCCTTGCTCATCTGTTTGTCAGTCTGCCGCTCTGCTCATCTGTTTCTGTCTCGGATTTTGTGCTATTTGCAAGTTTGTCTTTACGTCTGTCACCGTGACTCACTTGTGTATTTCAGTGCTGTTTATGCTTCATCAAAGTGTTGCTAATTGAGCTTCACCGGATGAAAAATAAAGGATTAGTAAAACATTTAGTGACGCCTGACTTGGCAACACTTTCTAAAGGAATGTAAGCATTAGATTTCTTTTTAAAAAGCTGCAGTATTGACACCAAATGAACATAATATAAGCACAAATACGTTTTTGTTTTTTTTATCATTAGTATTTGATGTTGATCATAAAGCAGAGCATCTTACCTTCTCTCAAACCAGCCTTAGGTGTTGTGTGTGACCCCTGAAAAGGAAAGAACCAAACTGAGGAGTAAATCATCTTTAAATAAGCTCCCAGGTCTGGAGGTGTCAAGAGGAACCTCTAATCCCTTATCTTGGATTAACTTGCTCCATCATCAGACACAACATTGTTAATCAATAACACAAAGCTCTCAGTTAATGGTGCATAAGTTGGAAAAGCATGTTGTGTATTAGGTAATGAATGATGCTTGCACAACCAGTTATTTTTCACCTGATCTGGGGCCAGATAAAGATTCCAAGATGAAGCAGCTAGTTTGACGTGATTAATCATCCCTGTTGTTCGAGGCGCTGCTCCTTTCAGATGTAAAAGCAGGAGAGACCTGACACCTAGTGGTAAATGTTAGAAGAATGCCGCACATGATTTCTTTTCTCAAGTCCACTCACATTTTCCTGTTTTCGTCACGTTTTGTAGCCTGGCAAAGATTAAAGCCAGGGTATTAAATGATGTTGCTTTTTTTTTTTTTTTTTCTTATGCGAGATAAGTCAGTGGAAGTATTTCAAACACGTACAGTGTAATCTCCTTGACTTGTGCAGAGTGTTCAGGTACTTAGCTACTTTGCCGGCACTCAAGATCAAGCATGTTGTGATTGGAAATGAGCTATCAGGGAGATTTTCTGAGATCCTCTTAACACACACGCTTTTACTTACACACCCGGCTACCCACGGGCACTGTCCTCCCCCCTCTGCATGGGAGAAGGCAGTGCAACAGGGCAATTGTTAATAATTAGTGCAGCTACGGTTCTGTCATATCAGCAGCGCTCTCAACCAAATCTGCCAAACCTGCTGACCTCAGGCTTGCATCCATGAACTCAGAGGAGCAGAACGTAATAACCCCCTAGACTCAGTTGTTACTTTCCAAACTGTTATGAGAGCTGGGAGCCAGAGACAGATAACAGGTCTTGTTGTTGTGCGGGCAGCTGGACTGAAGCTGCTGCTGCTGCTGTCGACCAAAGGAGAAATCCTTGAGATCTGGTGCAGCGTGAAGCAGAGAAACACAGAAGCACACATGGACACACTTGTGTAATCATTTATACACACACACATGGCGATGGCTAAATCTCTGGCGAGGCTCCAGAGCTGTTTGGTAAAAAGCCCTCCATGCTGCAGTTTAATCCCCTTCTCCAGATGTGCAAGTCAGGTTGCAGCCACCGCACAGCCTGGGGATAAATCAGACGGAAGCTACCCAGACACTGCCCGCCACTCAAAACACCTGCCAATCAATGAGCTATAGGAGCAAACCACACAGCCTGTGTTATCGTGGGTTAATCTTGCACTAAGTAACGCCATATGATGTTTCGTGTAAGCTCTCATTCTGTTGTTTTAGGAAAAGGGAATCACAACAGTGCGTCAGTTAATTATCTCCAGACATATGGTCGCTAATATTCATTTTTTTTGCCAACTGCAGCCACTTTCACCTTGGCCATTGGCACGCTGCTGTCATCTAAACAAGAGGACTAATGACGCTTTTCGAACATTGTTGTAATTCTTCTGTTTTTGCTTGTTCAGGTTTGCCGATGACATGAGAACTGAACCCTTAACAGGAGCTGCATATTTTTGCTCAAGCGCAATCTGGAAAACTGAAACAATCAGACGTCTGCAAGTCGATCAGCAGAAAATAAACAGACAGCAGCTTTTGTAGGAAATTATTGATTAAGATTGTTTTTTAAGACAGGGTCACACAGATGTATTGCTTTTAGTTGCTGTTAGTCGTCTATCACACTGAATATCTTTGGTTGAACAAAACAAGCTGTGTGATGCTGAATTAATTAGCCAATTAATCAATTTACCAAGACAACTGATAGTAAAAATGTGTTAATTGCAGCCCTAATTTGTGAATTATTGTTGCAAACATTAGCAAAAGCATTATTTGTGCCGAGCAAAATGTCACAACAGACCTTGTTGTGTTATTGAAATTGCAGGTTTAGTCAATATGAACCATGTTTTAAACAAATGAACACAATGACTTAAAAAACATACAAAAATCTGAGTTGTTCTAACATTGGGTTGACATCATGATCTGATCTTCATAACTGTACTGGGAAATGCCACATAAAGCTGAGAGACCTGTGAATCCCTGAACATCCAGACAGACATTTCCTCTATTTCCTCAGTTTGAGAATATGACCTCTTCGAGGCGCCTCTGGCCGATAAAAAAAATATAGTATTCCAAGGGCAAAGAAACATTTACAAGTTACTCCACTGTTTTAGTTATAAAGCAGCTCCACTGTCTCCACTCCCTTGCAGGTATTTTTATTCTTTCTGATATTTAGTGTCACAGTTACAGTTTTTAACTGTCCAGCTGCTTTTGTGTGTTAGTGTAAGAATTTTCCACTCTGGCGGACAATAAAGTTCTGTTCTGTTTCGATTTTATCGTTGCACTGGGGCTGCAAAAGAATGCGCTGAAGGACGAACCTTTGTTATCCTTCAAGTCATTTCACGGGGAGTCATTCTCAGGCATTTTATTTAAACTATATTCACTGCTCCTCCACTCTCCACCTGTCAGCGTGAAACTCTGAAATTGTTCCTTTATTAAGTTCAACCCCGGTAAAGGGATCCGAGGCTCCAAGTCTGCGGACAAACAGTCCTACAGCGTTTCAGCACACACAACATCACTTTATTGTCACTACACATTCAGTTGGTATGTCGACACCACTCATAGCACAATGAAACGGCATCATCACAGGTGTCCTTTTGTATACATGCGATTGTCTCAGTGTGTTTGTGGGTCTGTGTGTGAATCATGTTCTCTTTATATACACTTTCCTTAAGCTCGTCTTTAATTCATGCTTGCTTGTTTTGTATTCCAGCTTGCTATTCCTGCATGTTTCCCTGTGTACATATGTACATTTATGTTTATGATGATAGTATAGCTTGAATGCAACTTCATTGTCTTGTTTGTTTTTTGTTTTTTTTTGTCACTTTAGTTCTTCGCTGGAGGATGAGGGCGTGTCAGAGCCGTCAGGACACTCCTGCAACACAGACAGATGTAGAAATACAGCGTTTTTTTCATGCTTTAATTATAGTCGAATAATTACAGTGCTACTTCAGAGGACACGGTAAGAGAGGCGTGAGTGTAGAAGCAGCATGAAAAGGAGTAATTTTGTCTTTTGTAAGGGTAGAAATAGAAACCACAGAGAAAAGGCTCACCTTCACTCTGTCCAGCTCTGGTCGGCCTGGCAGGGATTTTTGTGAAGCAAAGGCCTGTTCGATAAAACAGAGGAGATCAGATTAGGGAACCAAAGGAGGTGCGACTGAAGATGAATGTAAAGCCGCTGCTCACCTTCTTCGACTGCTGCATCTCCTCCGTGGATTTAGACCTGTTCTTCATGTGCTTCTGAGGAGAGGTGGTGGTGGGACACTGGGGAGAGGGAGGGGAGCGTTAGAGGGGGCCTGAATGATTCAGATTTTATGAGTCTGAGCCGTTCACACACCTCATTAGCTTTCTGCTCCATGGCTCACTTGAAGGTTTTCTCCTCAGTGCTGATGCAGGTTTAGGAGGGATCACCTTGTCCTCTGGCTGTGCAACTATAAAGAAAAAGAGACACTTTCTAACCACATCCTTGAACCTCATCTCCTCTACTTACTGTAAATATATGAGTTTGCTGATTTCATGAGCTTCAAATGTCCAACTTTTATTTTCTGACCACTTAAGAAATTCTAAATGTAACTTGAGGCATTTTGACTTAAAATGAAGAGCAGTTCAACTCAACTCATTAAATTAGGCTTAAAAGAAACAAAACTAGCATATAAGCAGATTTCCCAGGATACATTGTCATTATTTATTTTGGATTTTTTTGGTAATTTGAGAAACAGAAATGGTGGAAACTTGCAGTAGACCTTAATTACATGTCAAATGAAGTCGTGGTTGTTTCTTTTCATCACAACCAACACAGTTCCACATCCACAGACTAATAATTTATCTCTCTGTAACCAGGAGCAGCCTCACACATTCTCTTTGTACTGACTCTAATCAGAAATGGCTTCAACAGCTGAGGCAGTAAGTTCTCAGTGTTAAATGAAGGAGAAATTCTCTAAACTTAAAAAATACAAAAAGCAAAGCAAGTTTGACTGTAGCTGTTGTTTATGCTGCTGGTTGATTTAACTTTAATCTTAAGTTTATTGAACTTCTTTTCTAAAGTTCAGTTAATTTAACTCAGCACTTTCACAACTTATCAGATGACTTTGGAGTAAATCATCCGGAGTGCAAATTTAAAGGCAGCAGGGAAACTGAATTTAGTTGTACTAATAACATTCAGAGAATGTTGTGAACACTTCTAGTAATGTTTTTTCGGGAGGAGTTATCTGTTAGTTCCCAGATTGTTCTTTTTAAAAGTGGAAAAAATCTTCAGTGATAATATTGTTGGACCACCATGCCCTACCATTCTCAAAAAGTTCTCTGGATGTTGCATTGAGAATGCTCTTCCTTTGCCATCATGCAACATCGGAACGTTTTCTACAAAAACATTTTGTAATGTGTTACCTCAACAATATCCCCAACATGTACTCAGAACATTGCATACAGAATATTTGTTTAGGCATCACATTGCAGGAGCATTTTTGGAGATTGTTTGGTCATCTAAGGCCTTGATAACATCTGGAGAACATTTTTTTTGCAAATTGGTTTAAAAACACTCCTCCTTTGTTACTGTGTAACATAACCTGTGCCTCTGACAACATCCTATAAACATCCTCTGAATGTTGCAGGTTAAAGGAACATTATTTAAAAGGAGGAATATTATTTGAAAAGAGAAATATCCCTAAAATGTTGGTTGAACATTAGGATAAACCTGTAAAACAGTTTTCCATCCTGTAGGCGAGGTTAGTCGATGTTGTGTAAAGCCACATGAACTTAAAGTGACTGACAGTCTATAGAGTCACTGACCACCTTAGTTTTTTTCCCCCCTCTAAATTCATAGAAAAAGTTAAACTGGTCCCTGTTAAATCTTACTGTCCTGAAAGCTCTGATGATCATCAGAGTGCAGTTATGTGCTTCTCTCACTAGATGGCATCTCTGACTCACTTATTCCTGCCTCTGGCTGACTCTTCTACAGATATTTATCCTGATTTTGGTCCTAATTGTCACACTGGGATGCTCACACTGATGTTCCAATTATGGGACACAACCAATCCACTTGAAGGCAAGTTAACGTTTTGTTATCATTGGCGGAGACAGATTCCAATGAAACTGCTTAATAATAATGCTGCTGATCGTCTGCCTTTACAGAACTACACATCAAAAGATTTTTATCACTCATTGTTAAAAAATACAGCTATCCTTGCAAAGTCAAGATGACAGAATCAAATTTCACCTGAGATTAACAAATGAAGTAGCTCATAAATTGTTCTCCAAACAATCAGAAAAACTGATTAAAAACAGTAAAATGTAGAGGAAGAAAACTGTAAAAGAAAATAAATCTCCAAACAGCCTCCTACACAGTTAGAGAAGAGCAGGACAAACAATGGCTCCTGGAGAAGTGAAAGGCCACAGCGAACACTCTGCAGCAGTCGCAGTCAGAGCCACAGCTGGCGTCAGGAGCCCCGGTGGCTGGGGACAAAACACCTCTGAGTCTGGGTCAATGTCCAACAGAATGAGTTCTTTACAGTCCAACAATCCCCAAGCTTCCTGTCAATGTCTGCTCCTGTCTGTCAGGCACCTGCATAAAACACTGACGGCAGGGATGGATTCTGATTTGAAGAAGTGGCTCAGTGACGCTGCTTGTCTCTAAGCAATAATATCTGTTTGGCATTTGAAATGAAAGAGCTTAAAGCACAAAGATTCATTCCTGCATTTGTGCAATTTCATTTTGCAGATGCCTTTATCTGAAGTACTTGGAAACAACAATGTGGCGAAAGAAATTCTCAACACAAGGTCGACTTACTTTGTGTTTCCCAAAGCTGTCAGCTACATCTTGTGGTTGTCATCAGCGGAAAGACATGACAGCTGAGCTGTAGTTGTCCAGAGCTTCTTCCATCTGCCAAGTCCACAAGATGTTGCTGAAAGCTTCAGAGACACGACATAGGAGGGCCTTGTGCCAGTGCTGCTTCTGCTTTATATGATAAACTCACCTCAGGATTAAGAACTAAATGCAACTTTTGCTTCTTTTGCTTTTCGGCATTCTTTTTTAAATGGTTGTTTTAGGATTGATGCCTAATACATATAAGGAAGCAGGCTGGAAGCAATTTAAAGATTTGTGACATCACTTTATTATTTAATTATTCATTTAATATGTATTTATGAAAGCAATATTGAGATTTTACCCTAACAGGACAGCCAGTTTCCTTCATCAGGACTGTTGGGTCAGATCTGACTGATAGAGACAAAATAACCACCAAGAGTCATTTAAATTTTGATTCAGATGATGCTAAAGCCTGATTGGTGCTTTGACATATGCTACCTTCATCTAACTGAGGTTTTAATCAAACCAGTGATAAGAACAAAACTACAGCAATGTTTCAGGTGAGTTTCACATCTGAAGCGACACTTTAAAACAAATTAGCACTGAATTTGAGTAATTTTGTGTATTAGATTACTGATGTTGACATTATTTCTTCCCAAGATGTGTGTTCTTAGAGTTTAGATCAATGTCCTAAAGGACTGTCCTGCCAAGACAATAGTGTAATAAAAGCCAAGCTAAAATAAAACATAGAAAGTCTGGTGTGACTGAGCTGAAACTGAACCGTCTACCAACCTGAGCTGCAGTTCAGTCTGCTGCTCCACAGGAAGCATTCAGCGCAGGGCTCATAAAGAATGAATGGGATTTGATCAACGGGAGTTCACTCGCCCACTGTGACATCAGGGGTCACAGTGGGGCTACATTTGGTGCTGCAGGGAACTCCATTACAAAGTCCCACTTGGGCTGGAATATATGTGATATTCAGCAAGACCTGCCTGCCAGCCAAAACTCTCTAACACAACTGGGACTGACCCAGCCAAGTGTTCCCGGCTTCTTTCATGCAAGGTCTATTACCACATACATGTTGGCACACCCAGGGGTATACGAGAGCTGCTGAGCTCCCTGCACTTACTCTAAAATGTGCATTACAGCCCTTTGAGGGATAGGAGGAGGGTAATCTCTGCCTTGATGGCAGGACGGGCATTCACTGAGTCCTGAGTGCTCTTTCTGACCAGCTCACTGAAGGAAATGACCTAAATGAGAATGATTTGTTTGCTCGGCTCACTCTGTCTGTCCCCTACTTTCCTCTGTCACTGTCCCTTCGTCTTTGTGAAGATGAGAAAACCCTCCATTGCAGATGAAGCAAAGGGACAGACGACCGTATCAGTTAGATGGAGGTTGGTAGAAGTTCCTCTCCTTTGAGGTAGAAAAGCCCCGTGGCTTCGAGAAACACTTCCCTATCGATTAATCCACATGAGCAAGCCAACCCCAGCCAAGATGACACTTTCAAAAACATTACACCTCTTCGTGGTATGCATACGGAGACATACACACACAGGAATGCAGTAAAAGCTCGAACATTATTACACAGACATGGGCACAACGCCCAACCTTCCTGTTAAAGCCTACTCAGTAGCTCCTTCTGCAAGCATGGGCAACGTGAATATTGTCCCTCATCCCCATTTCCCCCTCAAAACAAGACACTGTAAGAGAGGAAAGTTGAAATGAAAGTAGAAAAGTTTAATGACAGGGTACTTAGGCTTTACAGGCCTTGATAAAAAGCTGATGTTCATATCTGCATTACATAAGAACCAAATCTGTTCCTGAGATTTGAATTCATAACACTGGCAGAGACTGAGATTGGCCTCATCTTCCAGTGTTGGGTCAATACTAATTAACTCCCCGGCTGAGAAACAGAACATGACAAGAACTTCCTGAGCTTAATTTTTGTGTGTTTGTGTGTGCGTGTGCGTGTGTGTGTGAAAGTTTCACGAGAAGAGAAAAGTCATGCTGCCTTTACAGCATCACTCCTGCTGTCTTCTGGCACTTCACCAAGAAAGGTCTGCCATCTGCCAAGTGACTCCCTGCTGGAGACACAACTGGTGGTCATCAGCGCTCATTCATTGATTCAATGACGACACTAACTGACAAGATCCCTTCAGCCCCGAGTTGATCATTTCCACTCTTTTTGAGTAAACGTATCCAGTCCAACAGAGGAAATCGATGCCTTGGTGAGACTTTGCTGCCTCAGCACATGGCTGCTGGTGAGCACACTGATCACAGAACCTCACTTGCTCAGGATGTGTATAATTAGGTGGGCAGCTACACCACAGAAGCACACGGAAACGGTTATAGAGCACCAAGGTGAGCATGTAGGCAGTAATTCTACTGACAGCCGAGCAGAGAGCACATCCAGGCGGCTCATAGTGTCAAGGACATTATGTCCTGTAATTGACGATGACTGGCCGTCTGTTCTGCCATGTTCAGGTGTGACACGCACCCCGGCTCCCCCCAGCTGGATGAATTTAGTCAGTGGTCTCCCAGTACAGCTGCTCCCTTTCCGAATCACAGCTGAGCCATGTGTATCTCACCTGATAACTGAGCCACTGTTAATGAATCCACTATTATTTTCAGTTTTAACACACTGAGGACAGACTCTGTCCTTCACCGGCTGAGCAGATTCTTTCAATACACAGTAATGTGCACGCATTGATCTGATGGATGGGTTTTGTTTCACAGCACTTATGTATTCCTCTGCAGGACTCTCAAAGGCACAGCGAGGACCACTCAGAGCTCCCATTAGCAGGACTGAAAATAAACACTTTCAGATATTCTAAACCCGTTTGTTATTTATCCCAGCGCAGAATGGACCAATTCATGAAGCGAGGCTCAAACTGAAAGCAGTAAATAACTAAACAGAGATAGGACAAAGAATTGGCACAACCTGAATGAAAATATGAGCTTTTCCATGAATGAGGAAATGAAAAGGTTTTATCACAACAGAACATGAGACATTTCATCAAGCACAGTAATGCACCGGGTGACAGACGAGAGGGGAGGATGAATGATGGGAGGCAGAGAGAGAGGGAGAAAGGGCAGACAAACACATCTACTGACTGAACAAGCATTGCAATCACCCCCAAAAAATGAGATTAATGAAAATGCCCGGGGTAAATTCAGACACTCACCTCCTTTTCCCCCCCTTCTTGCTTCTTTTTCTTCTTCTCTCAGTGCAGCAGACGAGCAGTGGAGTAGATGGCACTCCTCATCTCACTGCTGCTATGGTGTCTGTGAGAGAACACCCCTCTCTGCCCATTCATAGCTCCGCCGACGCACAACTCACGCATGGATGGAGACGCGCACACACACACGCACACACAAAGCCAGGTGTGTCACTCATAGCTCTGTATGCTAATGTGTCCAGCGTGGCAGTGGGGAGCTGTGGGTGTGACAAACAGGTATCGTATACAGCACATTAATGCTTACAAACACAACTCTGGTCATTATCTCAGGGCAATTACCTCAGTTACAACCACATTCACAAGGGGACGATGCAGGCAAGATGAGTAAATTAGATGCCGTCCGACCTGCCACGTACGGTGGAATATGAATGACATCATCTATATGGATGACACCATATGTGAGTCATCCACGTTGTTTTGTAACCCATACAATAGTCAATTACTTAACCCTCCCAGGCTCATAAAGTAGAAATCACCTTCCAGCAACAAGTGTGGAGACAGATAAAGCAGGTCATTGGCTACAAACCCACCCTCGGAGCCAATCACAGCACTGCAATGATCACCGTCACTGAGTAAAAATGACATCATTACATTACAGCACGTTAGAGGCCGTTTACCAGAATACACCAAATGACACAGGAATGAATGTAATCATAGCTGGTTACAGTTACAGACAGACACAGATCAGACTTCTTTTTTTTTTTTTCTTACCCTGTATGAGTCACACATGGGTTGTGGGGGTCTGGCTGCACTACAAAACCAAATCACGTAGCATTTGTCAAGCCAGAAACTGACCTCAGTGATTCATCCCCCCAAAAAAAATCCTCACTGAGGATTCCTTCCCCAACAACAAATGCAGGCAGAAAAGATCACATTTCTTCATGTAACCCTTTAATTCTTTAGATACACCTTGTGGGATATTAGCAACGATCACAGCGACTGTCTCATTCCCTGTAATGTCACATTACTATTTAATTCTCTGAACCCTGAGATGAAGTCTGACAGAAAAGCAGGACTTGACCAGAGCTTTGCAAGGTGCAATCACAGCAAACCAAATGCACTTTTAAGTGCTAGAAACACACACTTGAACACAGCAAGAAAGCACACAAATGAAAAACAGTAATTTAAGATATTAAAAACTAATTTGCTTAAAATAACAATCTAGGCTAAAATAAAGACAACTTAATTGTGCAAAACCCCTTCTGGATGGTCACAGTTCCTGTGCAGGCACATTGTTTGGGTTAGAGTTCAAAGAAAAACACCAAGTGAGATTGTGAAAAACCGAAGCGATGTGAACAGTAAATCAAACTGTACAGCATTGTACATCAGGAAAAGAAACGTGTGTTAAACGACATTTAAACAACTTTTAGGGTGAAATCTTCAGCTACAACTTTTCATACATTTTTGGGTGCATTAAACAATTCATAGCAAACATTTTCCAACAGGGATCTGTAGTGTTCTGAAGTGACACTATAAATGTTTGCCATGATCTTTCTTCTTTACATATTGCCTTAAAAGGTCAAATATCAGGAGCAGAGGTGGTAGCACACTGCTGTCTCAGAGCTTATTTGTAAACCGTTATATAAAAAAAAGTGCTTTTTGATTAGTAACAAGTATCCATCTTTTGACACGATTCTCAACATTGTGAGATGTTCACTGTAGTTTTCAATCATGTCTTTATCCATCCCACAAACACGTGTCTTTCAAACAGCCGTTTCCTTCAAGTCTTTGGATTCTGGTTCAGCAGAATCGGTGGTTTCCTCCGCAGCTCCACCCGAACTTGAAGTATGTGGCGTCTTCTCCTCCGATTCCACTTTAGGGTCAGTAGTTGAAGAGCTGCTTGTGCTGGGCTCATTCGTCTCCTGTTCCTGATCTGAGGGCACCTGCAGGAACGAAGGAACCTCCAGCTGCTCTTTGGTCAGAAGGCCTCGCTGATCATCAACCCTGCAGCACTGAGCCCTCGTCAGCATGTCCAGAAATCCTGATGCAGACAAAACATCGTGTTAGTTGTGGCAGGTTTTTCATATGAATGAGTAAAACAAATAATAGAATTTTAATCTAATGTGTTCACACTGTGCAGCTGACAGCATGTGGGCAACATTGTTCAAACAAGTTTTAATATTAGATTACATCATAAAACTTACAACAAAATGGTTCAGTCCTTATGAAATCTGTCTCCTGCTGAGATGTGAAGTTTGGACGATATGGATAAAACCTTCTATTGTACAATTTTATAACTCAAGAGTGACATATGTTGTAATATAGATTATACATTTTCTGTAATTGCATCCACTGATAAGGACTGTGTGATATGTGTTGAAAGCTTAAAAAAAAAAAAACAACTTCTAAATGAACCTTCTGGTGAGATAATGTTGCCAGCAATTGGGAAATCCAGCTTAAAGAATTACAACACACTGTTCAGTTCCTCTGCACTCTTATTTCTGTTAAAATCTGAGTATTCCATCACATTGATTCAATATTTTTTTTTCTAATCAAATTTCCCATTGATTTTTATGACATGGAACAACCCCTGATGGTTGTCAAACAATCTAACAGTAGTAAAATGTTGCCCAGCCATACTAGATCCTGCTGAGGTGCCCTACCGTCCATATCGCGGTTCCTACCGGGCCTCGGCTGAGTCTTGGCTCGGTCTGTCGGCGATGATCGAGACTCCAGACCTGAACTCCCGGCTCCTGCCTAGGAGCAAAAACAGGGTCCGGCACTATCAATATACAAGCTTAAATTTTCACACATTTTGCTCAAATATTAATATTTTCATCTGCGATTTATATTGTATACGTTGATGCTTTCTACCCTGGAGTTTGGTGACATCCAGGAGCACTGGCCTGTGTTCAGAATGACGCACTATAAAGTGCACTAGGTTGGCTGTCAGCCATTTTACGTAAGAGTTCAAATCCTGCGTGTAAATGTTGTGTTCTGTGTAGTGCATTAAAAAACTCCACAATTGAACAAAACAATAAAGTATACACGTTACTTTCTGCTTGCAACTTCATAATGGAATGCATCACATTTATTTCATAGATGGCAAAACATTCACTGTAAGATTCCCTATTTATCAGACAAAAGAAGATCATCAGTAAAATAAATGCTCCTGGTATTTTCTAACTAAATAACTAAAGTACAAGTCGAAGACCAATGTAGTGTCTGACATTGTTCACAAAATGCTTTGATTTTCAAAGAAACACTTTAAATATATTTATAACTTGATCAAAAATATCAAACTCTGTAGCTTTTCCCCCCTCAAATCATAACTTTTTTGTTCTTAATGTATAACTCCAAATAATTCTATCATTCATCTCATTGTACGCAAATATATGTATGACTTTCAAAAGCAAAGCTTGTAACAAGTTTGTGGTCTCACCTGTGTTGCTACTGAGGAACCGCTGCCTCTGGAAATGTATGTCTGTTCTTTACCTGTATCCACACAGACAGAAATAGGAATCAGTACTTCTACTAGGAGTAGAAAAGTAGCCTGCAAGTAGCTGATGATGCTACAAACCTTTAACTTCCCCTCTGTGTTAAACACTGACATCAGCCAGATAAAATATTCTGGGCAAGAATTAAACTGGTCCTCCTGGGATACAACCACTCTTATCAGATCTACTTGGCTCTTCCTAAATGCAGTGAGTGGAGCTGAGGTGAAGAGCACTGATCCAAAGTGAAGTTGGTTCTGGTCTCTCAGCAGTTGGGAAATGAGGTGGGTGAACTGAAAGTGACACAGCACTCAACAAACCAAATGGACTCCGACATTTCAACCCCACAGAAAAGAGTGAAGAGACAGAGAGAGAGAGAGAAACACACACAAAGAAATCAGAGCAGGGAAAGAGGAGCGTGCAGACAGTAAAAACCAGAGCAGTAAAGTGGACAGTGAAAAGACTTTCTCTTCCCCGCCAGCCATGAAATGCAGAACACTTACTAGGACCCATTAAGAAACAATTACCTGAATAAGGAGGCTTAGGCAGCAGAAGAGAACACAAAGCCCCACATAATCGACTAACAGCTGATGGAGAGCTAGAATGGGCCTTTATCTGATTTGACTGAACTTTGATTTGAGTTACTCAACAGCTAAGTGGGTTTCTGTTCGTCCTCCGGCTGTTTGTGCCTCTTGAGGAGCTGTGCATTAGTTTAAATGTGGTAAACATGATTCTGCCTGGTTCACACTGAAAGAAAATCATTGGGGTTTTTAAAAAGGTCAAGCATATTAACCTTTGGTCCTGTCAAGTCGTATCGTCTTATTGGCCAGCCTGAACACGTTGCTGTTCATGGTCACGGGCTCGTCACTGCCAACCTAAAATAAAAATGAAAAAATAAGACGAACAATTGCAGTTGGACACATGCAGACACACGATCAGCTGCACAGTGCTGTTGGGGAGAAGCATCAAGACCCCACAGGAGAAAGCTCTCGCATAGTCAGAGAAAACACACATTAAAGCACTACTGATTTTGTAATTGCATTACTTATTCCAGTGACAAAGTAGCTAACGCTTTTCATCATTTTTATTCATATGAAAATGCTTACTAACGCATTACTGTTGCCTCGCAATGGCTGCTGTAGGCAGAAAAGTGCTGATGGGACAGTTGATTCCTTTAAAAGTAGGATATTTTAAAATGTCAGATACCTAGTGAGCTGTTTTGTTTGTTTTTGTTTTTTTTGGGGAGGGGTGATCAGTAATGTACTTCACATAAAGAGAAGATTAATAAAGTCAGATGTTGACAACTTCACCAACAGGCTTAAAGAATATTACAGTTAACTGCATTTTTTCTAGTTGAACAGGAGTTTATTTGTCCTTATGTAAAATTAAAACCTAGCAACTTATATTTACTATATTAAAAAGTCCCACAGCAGGAAGTAGGAAGTCAGTACACATTGTCTTACTGGTGGTGGATACCCATGTTGCATACATTTCTGGAAAGGTGTGTCATTCTTGAGAAACTATTTTTTCTTTCAGCTGCTCTTTGCTGGAGGGGTTTTGTTGCTCAACTTTTCTCTTTAAAATCCTCCAAAGGTGTTCTATTGAATTCCAGTCAAGCGACATCCTTGCCCAGGTCATATCTTTCACTTTTTTTCTTCTTTTGATTTGTGATTTTGGCAGTGTGCTTTGGATCATCTTCTGTCTAGCCTCAGGGGACAGGGTGTCATCTTGTCAGCCCAAACACCTTTCGCACTCATTTAGGCCCAAATCATCACACATCCACCTCCGTGCTCTACTGTCTGGACTATACATTCACTCTGGTAGTCCGAGCCAGGTTCATACCACACATGTTGAACTACAACTGAGTTCAACAAATTCATTTTGGCCATTATCTGACCAAAGAATACTCATCAGACTTCTTTGTAAGTTTCTTCTTGTAGTTCTGTTGCACAGAGCAAGCAAGGGTGTTGCTTGCCATAGATGTTGTTGTGTAATATACTTCACACTGTCTGAGCTGTCACAGTAATTCATATTTCCACTGATAACCCCTGTGGCAAGTCTACAGCACTTGTTTTTTAGAGCTATATTGTGCTAGTAGCGCACTCTTTGTGGCTTCATTTCTAAAAGGACAAAGGCCCTGATTAGTGGTACTATGGCTTATTCTGTACCTCCTAATTACTGTTGCAATTGTGTTCCACTTTTCTTTTTTAATTGTTTACCAATCTTCTTGTATCATTTTCCACCATTGGAAAGACTCACAATCTGATTTTCTTTTTTCACTCTGGCAACAGTTTTCCACGTGAAGCCATGATGCAATAATGCAGATAGACATAGTCAGTGGGTCAAAAATTAAAGAACTGAAGTTCTGGTGTTCACAGATCTCTTCATAACCATGTTCATGCAGATGTGGTGTTTGGAAATCCTACTTAGTTTTGTCTTAGTGATCATAGGTTTTGTAACTTGTGTATCAGTGATCACACGTGTACTCACTTTTGTTGCACCAAGTTTCTCCTTTGGGGCTGTATTTTCAATGTAGTCTTGGTAAAGTTTTTTTTGTTTTTGATTGTTCATGAGAGGAAATACTCTTCTGTTCAACTTAGGTATAGAGCAGTTATTCATAGGTGATTCAAACCTGAATCATGACAATAAAATGATGTTGTAGCTGCAGACTGTATGTCATTCTGTGAGCTCCATCAACAGATATTTCCAGGTTTCAAAAATGAACTCGAAAATCCATTGGTGGGATGATTAAAGTGAAGTAAACATTAATTCCTTAGAATTTGGAGGAATGATTATTCATGGGTAACTACCCAAGCACAGGACACATAACATGGTCTCATTCATACGTAACAGATACTCACCATGGTGATCAAGGCCTCTTGCGGCTTGAGATGGTGCTTCTGCATCACCGCAGAAAGGGCATCCTGCAGTGTCTTACTAGACTTCACCATGATCCCCACTGTCTTACCAGTAAAGGCAATCTCCAGGCTGAAACACACATGTATTTCAATAACCTCCCTCACACACTGAATCAAACTGAATCAAATGCAGTGGAACAGCACCATAGAGTCACTGTCACGAAAAGCCTGTAGTCACAAAGAAACCTGCCAACCAATGATATCCTTGCCGGAAATCCATACTTGCAAAAACTTGATAACTTGTTGGATAAGATATTAAATGCAAATGATGACTGAACTTATTACTGCCCAACAGATTTGTGTGTCATGTTAACGAAAGGACTTCCCTCTAATGTGGTGAGAAGCGATATGGTGTAGTGGAGATGTGGGTGTGAAAGCCTGTTAGGGTGACAAAGACAGAAAAAAATAAGGAGGAGAAGGAAGTGACTCAGTGTACTCACGCAAACGTCACCCTGAGCTCGAGAGAAACCTGCTGATCTCTCAGTACAGAGCAGTCCTGGTCCAGCGATAAGGGTTGCTGTAGAGAAAGTAATGGTGTATCAAACAGAAAGAAACTAAAGTGATTTTTACAGATGTCAGCATCAACGGGGGATACTTTATAATACAGCTCAGAAATAAAGAGTGTGAGATGAGGCAGTGAGAGGATGTTAGAACAGGAAGAGGGTAGTCATCTCTCATGCTCCCTGGTGCAAACAACTTTTCAGTGTGGCACAGTAGGCATTTTTCAACAGCTTGATTTACAGCTGCAGCTTGTGCTGCAGACAGAGCAGGAGTGCTCACCTTGTCCTTGCCTTGAAGGTAAATGATGACATCTTTCAGTGGGAAGCCTCTCTTCTCACACAGGCTGGCCAGCATGTCTTTGATGGGTTGCCCATTACGTGTGGGGGCCAGGGAGGCACTGCCATCAGGTAGGAAGACACAGCAGTAGCCCCCCTCCATCCCAATACGACTCCCAATCCCCCCAGCTTGCTCAGGGGAGCGGGGACTCGATCGGCCATTCTGTATCACAGATTGAGAAGAGAGTAAGAAGACTAAAAGGTGACAAATATACATGAAAACTTCACTTCATGACAGATTTGTCACCTTGAAGACCACATCTTATCATTCTGGTGTGCCTCCAATCATAAAAGTTTGAAATTAACATTGATTTCCCATAAGTCCAGTAAGCTCCAAATGTTTTCTCACCAATGCACTGACCTCTATCTGCCTGTAGAGGGAGCCAAGCTCCACACTGCTGGTTGACTTGACTGACATATGGGACTCCTTCCGGGGGCCTGAACCTTGGATGTTGGACGCATCTATTGTTATTGATTGGAAGAAAAATAATGGAAAAGAGAGAGAGAGAGAATTACAGAAACTTGACATAAAGTTACATGACGTACATGAAGGCTGAGCATCGAAGCACCAGAGCTGCCATTTGGCAGTTACTACCTCCCCAGGATCCTCTTTTCTGTCGCTGTTTCTCTGAGGCACTTTTACCACCTGGCAAGCTGTTAGAGTCTGACTTCTTGTTCTGTTGGAGACAGTGATGAAATAAATGCCATTACTGTGAAAGTCAGACAAAAATTGCACCTTTTTCCCTTCCCCACCACTCCGCTTATCTACCTTCTTGTCACTTAGGGGGCTTCTGGTGCCAACGTCCTCCCAGGATCCCATGCGGACAGGTTCAGTAGAGATCTGAGGTAGAAGTTTACCTTCTACACTTGCCAAGGTGCAGCTCTGGTAGAGAGGAGAGCGCACAAAGCGCCTGTAGCTGTCCATCTTCATCAGTTTAAATATCTAACACAAAGCAGAGCGAGTGGAGCATACAATTAGTCTACACCAGCAAAAATAAATAACTGTATTATTGAGGTGAAATTGGAGTGTGGACTACCTACAGACCTGTGCTTGAGCTTTGTTAAACATGTCAGGTGTGGGCTGTTCCAGATCCTTTTCCTCTGTCTTGGCTGTATCATCAATGTTGACTGAGTAGGGTGCATTGTCAGACAGGTAGGTGTTGTAGATGGAGCGAGCTGCTGCTTTCAGCTGGGAACAACAGCAGCTCATTAGACTGAATCATCCTGAACATTAGATATGACCTAAACTTTGTTTCTTAATTATTGTTTAGAGGCTGTTGACACATCAGCAAGAACGGACACACTCAGTGACACTGTGAATTAATTTCCCTGTGGATTTCATCTGAGCATTTAGCTTTTAATGCCAATCTAAGACACCACTAAGTGTGGGAAAAGCTGCTAACTGACTTGTCTCTCCTTGTTAAATGTAGCATGAATTAATTCAAGCATCTATACTGCAAGTCATACAAGTTGCAAAAGGGCAATTCACTTCAGAGAGAGCTGAGCAACCACAGAAACCATGTCGATGTGTGGACTAATATCACTTCAGTCATTTGGTGCCTTAACTTGTTCCATTACCAACAGAATTCATTAAATGAACAATATTTCTCCAGGGAGGTACAAAATAGATTAAAAGTTAGTGTTAGCTTCTGAAGCATCCCAGGTGGCCACTTGTATTTAAACAGCTGGTGCAAATACCAGAATTATGGCTATAAACAGCTTCTGTCTTCACTGAATTCAATGGAAGAGTTAGAAAATTGCTGTTTCATATTACTTAAAGTTTGATAACGGAGTAAAACAACTGAAGATTACTGCTGCATTGCGGTACAGTAACTTTCCACTTCATGTCAAAAAAAAAATGTTGAAAAGGAAATGAGCATTCAGGGCATTTATTTTTTTAATCAGCTCTAAATATAGTTTACACACACATAAACACATAAGTATAAAGCAAGGCTAATTCACTGTGTGAAGAGGTAGAAAAGTGCCATCCTACCTCGTCCAAGAACTTGTCTGGAATCCTTTTGAACTTCTCACAAGCTTGCCAGAATAAAATGTTCTCCGCACTAACCTCAGATCTCAAGAACGCCTGTGGACAAGCACACAAGTACACTGCATGAACGCATGTGGCTTAGCGGGAGGTCTCAGCTAGAAAACATCTGCCCTTGAAATTCTGTTGTTGAAAACTACAAAATTACACTACCGTAAAATAACGGACCCCAGAGGGATCCTCCAACAGCTTCTCAAAGGAGACGGCCCAGCTCAGCACACTGTTGGCGGGGCCGGCCTCTCCGCCTGGAGTCCCTGGAAGGCTGGAGCTGCTGCCTCCACAGCCCCGCGCAGACATGTTCAATTCTACAACACACCCAGACACAAACACACCCATTTATCAGCACCAAAAAGCATGACCAGGAACGACACTGAATCAGATAATTTCATGCACAGACACGTTCAGACTGTAGAAATGCGAGATGTACAGAATCGGCAGTGTGCGCTGTTCATGCTCACCTCCATCTGACACTGCCTGGCTCTGTGAACACAGAGAGAAATAAGTCAGGGAACTTTAGAACAACACTAAAACTAACTCAAGCTTATAAGAACATAAAATGGAATTCTCTTCACTGAGGTTGTCATGGAACTCCTGTCTATGGTATTAAAGTACATTTTGGTGTAGTTGAGAAATTAAACAATCCCTTGAGTGACTTACATAGCCATGATAGCAAAGAACAATTGCACCATAACTAACACCAGTTCACACAGTCAAAAATGAATCATTTTTGTTTGATTTCACACAAAAATGTGGAGATTTTTCAATACATTTCAAAGTTACTGCAACAGCTACACAGTGTGATCCACACAGTATGAATACACCAGCATGCAGCCGTTTAGGAAGTGAAATGTGAGCAACAGCTGCATGTTTTTTTTGCTTTTTGTTTTTTTCCTCTGTGTCACACTGCAGAGCAATCAGCCGAGGCTGTTTTCACAGGAAGTGGTTGTACCACCATGACAAAAGCTCTCATTCAGCTTTCTGATCTTTCAAAATTTACATCTGGTAGAAGCTCTTTCTGTTTCTACACAAGCACGGTCACAGTTGCTCACTGAACTCTGCAAACTATTTACACACAAACCTTTACGGACAACTGTGTTTGCATGTGACCCAGGTATCACGATAACTACATATTGATCCAAGAATGGAAACACAGAAGCACTGCTGCTCAAGAATCAAGTTTATGGAAGTCTTGTTTAAAGAGAGACCGACTGGCTCAAAACACAGAGGGAAGGTTTTAATTCATAAGCACTTGTCTGTAGTTCACATGCTCCTCGGTCTAGGTTTCCTCTGGGGGCTCTGGTTTCCTCCCACAGTCCACAGACTTGTAAGTTCAATATCTAAAATTGCCCAGAGGTGTGAAAGTGATTGTGCTTCTCTGTCTGTGTTTGCAGGTTAGTCCTGTGTACAGTAACCTGCTTAGAGAGCATGCTGGATGCAAGGTATACACAATAACTACTGTTACAGTTAACCATCACTCACACTCTGATTGGCATTTAGGTAAATGTAAGATTAGGAAACCTACTGTGCATTTAAATGTTCAGTGATACTACAAAATATATCTTAAGTGGCACAGTCTCAGTACTTTCTAGTATATTATTTATCATTCCATAAAACTTTAAAATATCTTTATCCATCTTTAATATTGAAGTAGACAGACAGAAATCTTAATGCATGAGAATCGTAGCCTTAAGGTTTCCATTTCCTTAAACAAATTGCAAGTGAGAAGATATGCATGCGAGTGTTTTTTAGTGCATATAGTGAGAGTGACACTACAACTCTGCTCTTGATAACAGCTCTTTGCAGTTGCTACACTTTGACCATATAAGGCTGAACTGGGTTGACTGTTTCTGCAGGTGTGAGCTCCTCTGTGGCTCCACCTCTTCAATTTTTTTTTTTTGCTCTTCTCTGCAAACTCTGGTTCCAACAACACAAGCTGGTGTCTACAAATAAACTTCCCAGGCTTGAGTCAGGACAGCAGGAAGTCAACGGGAGAAGTCACAAACACTTCATGCACAGTTTCTAAAAACTGTGATGAAAACAAATGATTCATCATCTTCCTCCTTGCGCACCTTTCATTCTTCACACTTGGGATTTTCTGAAAAAATTGCTTTAAGCAGAGAGACGGATACACAAACACACTGTGTGCAAGAGAAGAGATTTCCACATTTCAATCCACACAAATCGCAAAGCACAGAAAGCCCTTTTGTGGAGCTACGTAACATCCTGAACCTTTTGGCTTCAATAAAATACATCTATAGATATACTTTCACACCTCTTGCAGCACTGAACCATTTCAAGAAACATAATGATCTCACACTGAGTAAACTGAAGCCAGCTCAGCCCACACATGACAGATTGGCCAACAGGCATGGCTTGGTTTCTGCCTCTGGCTCAGGAAGGCCCAGCCTGTTTTCAGTAGCAACCAACTGTAGCCACAAAGTCTGATTGGTCCTGGCGCTTCCGAGGAGTGGAGGCCGACAATGCGAGCCAATGCAAGACAACTGCTCCACCGCACTCTTGATACTCTAGACTGGATGTCAGCTCAGTGGTATCACCCCGGTAGAAAACTGACAGAAAGACTAGACCAGGAGTCTAAATTTTAGAAAGGCATTCAGGCTCCAACTTAGAGATATTCAATACACTCAACTCTAAATTACCCCTTTTGAATCTGCTCACAGTCTTGAACTTCCACTATGTAAGGGCTGACAAAGCCTCCTATAATATCACGAGCGCATAACCGAACCACTGGACCCACGAGACCACTACAGAACCAAATCAAACCTAACAAGAGTTGTGCCAACTCACCATGTGGCCAACAGGAATCCCTAAAGCATTGCAGTTCTTCGCCATGGTGGCCGAAACACCAGATTAAAAACCGAAGTCTTGTGCGATGTGTACACTGTCAGGGGACACAGCAGAGTGCTCCACCCAAACTTGATGCACACTTCTCTCACACACACTCAAAAACTCATCACTTGGGTCTTCCTGCCTGGAAGGGAAGTCTTGCCATAGCAACAAGCCACAAAAGAGGAAGTATGGTTACTATGATCAAACTGTTCTCAGCCTACGTCTTGAGAAACACTATGATGTGGGGACACAGTCGAAGACAGTCGCACTCATTCTGCTTTTGATGTGCAGTCGCTGTATTTCTTACTTAACGCAGCTTTTAAAAGTCATACGACATCGACGGCAGCTTTGCCGCCACGCTGCATTTGAGAAGCTTTGTTTTTAGCACGTACCATAGGTTTCTGCTTTTTGAAACACAGCAAAGCAGATTTAAGCTTCAATGTGGAACACACAAAGTCAAACTATGTACAACACGGGGCAGCAGTAAATATTCTTTTCTTTGTTAAACTTCAAATTTTGAGTTTCCTGCACAACACAAATCCACTATGTGACTTCACACTATTCAAAGTCCTCTTAAAGCAAAAAACTCATTTTGATGAGGCTTTGCACAGACAAATTAAAAGTTCATGATATGAGTATTATTCTGCGGATACATGAATCTAAGTGGATTCCAAAATAAATTGCAAGCCGACTGTAGACTTTCTACAAAAGAGTCAGACACGTACGCTCCATTCAGCCTAAGTCTGATTGTCCTAAGTAGCACAGTTAGGCCTGGCCATCTGAGACTATTGCCCCGAATGTTTTATAAAAAGCCCTGCATCTACTTTTTTGTGTTTGATCACAAATCTAACAACATATCTTTAAATGGTCTTGTATCTATTTATCAGACCTTCAGATTGCGTTAAAGCCTGTTCACTGTTCGTAAAAGTCTAAACTGTTCACTGAAGTCAAAATAAAGACTTTTCTCTTTCATAGGCAAACAGCAGGATATTTGTAGACATGATTATGTGCATGGATGCTTCCCCTTACTACATACAAAACATGACCTCTCTAATCATTAACTTAACTTTAGCAAACATTTTACTACATCTGATTGTTTTATTGTAGGTTGCTGTAGTTGGATAAACTTTATATATGATCTGGACAGAGTTTTCTGGGTATTGTGTTATGGAACTTTATGAGTGAACTTCCGCTCCTTTACTTTTTAAAGCCTCAGGAATTCAAATTTCTTTTACATGCAACTTAAGACAATAATAGATGGGTGGATGGATGGATGGATGGATGTGGATATCAGGTTGAGCCCAGAAAGAAAGCAGCATGGCCTTACTTTGCCTACATCACACTGTCTCACATTATAAAATTACTATAGTATGAAAATATCTTAAAAGCGGTGCAATTACCAAGTAAAAATCTAAACATTCCTTGGCCTAAGTCCAAGTTTTGAGACGCTAACGACGCCTCTGTTGTCATACCTTATTGTCCGCCATGATGCCACCTCCTATGGTGCACCATTTGTCATATTTCTTGCACTGCTTTTGCGCTGCAGCTTTTGCCAGGCGGGAGAAGCTGTGATAAAGTCCTCTGAAAGCGACCATCCTCGGGGGACGCAACACAATGTGCGACGAAAGAAACGACAGCAGCACAGCACCAGAAACGTCCAGGTCAGAGTTAATTAACGACTTCCACCTTGACGATGTAGCAAGTCCTGACATGCGCACTGACTGATGACCAGGTGTGGCTGGGTAACTTAATTAACGGTGCAAAACCTCTTTTTATTTATTTATTTTTTAAGATAATATCAGGATATAATCTTGAGGCCTTATGCTCAATGGCCACAACACAGCAGCATAAAAGTAGATAGGATTTTTTATTTTTATTTTTTTTTAAATGTTGATTTGTTGTATTGTTACTAAATAAACATCCCAAATGCATCACTTTGACGCATGCGCACTATTAGAAGTAACACCACCTGCTCCAGCAAGACATGTTTATAAAATTTAGAGGACCTTAAAAACACATTAGTATTTATCCACCTAAATATTAAAACAGTAAGACTGTTATCATGGTATTTTAATTCATTTAGGAGCTTTTTTTTTACTCTTCCTAACATTTAAATTTAGCCTAGTTTATTTTTTAACTTTGGAATTTTATCATGCTAATATTACTGTTAGCATGTTACAATAGCCTGTCAGAATAACATGCTGCCATTCAGCAAGCCAGTACTACTGATGTATGCTACAGTTGACTGTTGGAGTAATATGCTAATATTTTGCATGCTAATACTGTACGGCACAATATGAAATATGATAAGTTTTATTAATTCCACAGAGGGGAAATTTGCATACAGCAGCAAATTAAAGCCTGTTAGAATAATATGTAAACATTTCTAATGCTAATACTACTGTTACCATGTTACAGTAGCCTAGTGAAGTGATATGCTAACCTTTATCATGCTATTACTACTGCTAATGTGTTGCAGTAGCCTGTCGGAGTAATATGCTAACATTACCATGCTAATACTAAGGTTAATATATTACATTACCCTTATCAGAATATTATTCTCACATTCAGCATGCTAATAGTAGTGTTAGCATATTACAGTAGGGTGCTGGAGTGATATACTAACATTTAGCATACTAAAACAGTAGCCTGTTAGAAAAATATTTTATCATTTAGCATGCAAATACCTATTGTAGCATGTTACAGTAGTCTGTTTGTTATGCTTACATTGAAATTGTACTGTCAATATGTTACAGTCGTCTCCTGGAGTAATATGCTAACATTTAGCATGCTACTGTTAGGATATTACAGTAGCATGTGAGCAATACAGCAACATCTAGCATGCAAATACTGTAGGAATTTTAGTCACAAATTTTGGAGATCCTCTCATAAATGCTGATGGCACCTGATGAAACACTGATCCAGATTGAGCAATGGAAAATCTGGGGGGGGAAAAAGAAAAAAATTAAAAGGAAATAGAAAAATGAAAGAGACAAAAGTGACCTGATTGTGTAAATTCTAAGCAGTAAAACAAACAAACAAAAAAAAAACAAGAAAATATGTGCTTAAGTTGTTAGTTAGCAGTCCATAAATTTTGCATGAAGTTCATTCAACTTGTTTGTAATGTGATCTTTTACATGGTTTGATTTTTAATCTTTGCCTGTAAAGCACTGTAAATAAACTGTGTATGATAAGCCATATGTTTTTCCTTGTTTTGGGCATGACTAATGGGGATCTTAATAAATAGACAATACTTTGGCAGTGCCACCTAATTAATTTCTCAGGAAAATTTTAACTAGAGCTACTTCAGAGCTGTAATTAGCACAAAATAAAGCTTACATTCCTCTTTACAAACAGCTTAAGGTCGTGTAATTAATGTAAATCTCTTTCAAAGGCCATTTACTTTAAACGGTTTTTCAGGGCCAAGTGGTCTGGGTTTACTTCCTTCAACAAGAGACTGACAGCAGTTGGGAAAATTTGCTCTTTGTGCTTCACGATCTTCAGCACCAGCATCCTTGTAACAACTCAATATTACCTAGTTTTAGGTTAGAAGAAAATCAAGCAATTAGAAGAAGACTTGGGGTCATCTTTTTTCCTGTTATGCTGTTAACAGCAACAGAGACCTTGAGGGCAGACAGAATGGTAAAAACCCCAGTCTTGTGTCAGTCTGCTTCCTCTTTAATTGCGTTTCTTTACGCTGTTGCCCTCCATTGTGGGTGTGGGTGAGGGCAGCTGATGATTAGGCATCTCTAACACGACAGATCACACTATAGGTGCAATGTGTTCGTGGCAACAAGAAACACAAATCGACAGGGGAACAACACCAGGCTAAATAATATATTCATCCTGATTTGAATTGACGAAAACATGGTCAGGCTTTTTCTGTGTGCACTTTGTATGTTCACCGTTTAAACTGCAGTTGAACTATTTAGCAGTGTGTCCTGTCCAATCTGAACTCCTTCTCTTTCTCTTTCACTTGCTCTATAAAAGCTCCAGCCTCCCGTCTACCTGAACAGGAAGCATTAAGAACAGTGATGGATGATCAGCAGCACTCTCTGCTGGCAACTGTGTGAATAAGTAGATGTGTATGAAGGTCATGCATGACTCCAGTGAAAGATAATGATGTATTTCAGAGCTTTGACTCTTAAAATTCATTCAGCTTGACTGTAATCCAAAAAGCTCTGAGCAAAGACATCCTTCAAACGTGTCACATTATGGAGTGTGCAGAGGCAGCGGGTAGTTTGCATACGTAAACCCCTGTTTTCCTGATAACAGGCTATGCTTCGGCATACCTTTGCCTCTCAGTAGCTTTCCTTCTCAGTCTGTCTCTACCTCTCATTTTTCTGTTTCTGTAACAAGTGTAAAAAATCCCTGCGCTTTAACCTCAACCTCACTCAATTTACATAAAAGCAGCAGCAGCAGCCCACTATCATTGTCACTTTTGCCTTCAAAACATACAAAGAGTGGCACTGTTTGTGCTGTAAATTTCCAGGAATGAATTCATTTGCATTGCTATCAGTGTTTATAATCAGTTCTTTTGCCTTTTCCGACGCAAAGACCTTTCAGTTAAGCAAAGTAGAGGAGGACAACATTTACGTCTGCGTGTGAAGAGACAACACGGGTAAACTAAAATCATTTAAGCATTATAACATGTTCAGTTTTGTAATGATATTTAATGCTTCATGTAGCCTCGTGTTAATTGAATTTGCTGTTCCTAATTTGCTTAAATGCTGTTTTTATTTTTTAGGCATTCATCTTGTTCAGTTCTTCAACTAAATAGTTCTAAAGCAAGTCTTGTCCAGTTATGAGGGAGCTATCCCTGCATCTTGTGCTCGGTCATCTCCTCATATGTAAGGGACAAACTTTGACTTTCTCATACATTTTTGTGCATATTCTCTGTCAGTGCATATTTCAATTCAGCGCGACATAATGCAGTCTGTATTCTGTTATTTCAGCTCACGTTGCCTCTACCTGCATTCCTGTCGAGTGCCTGCGATGTAACGTCACAGGAGAAGCTCTAGCAGGTGAAAAAACAAAGAGAATCACTCAGTCTTTTTATGGGCTACATCTGGAAATGTTATGTAGCGGCTAATCTACCTTGAACATTGTCTTCCAATAAATTGCAAGGCAAGATACGTTGGAAAAAAAATGTTCTCTGTGCTATTTTTTCCGTGTCCTTCCATCTGTTTTCTCTATAGATTCTTGCGGGCTCTGTCCAAACATCACTGACTGCATTAATGGTTTGTCCTCTCTTTCTTTTTATTTGTTTACTTCAAAACAAATTTCAGGAATTTCACATCCAGCCTAGTAAACGCAGTAACTGTCAGTTGGGTGTTGTAGGAGAATGGTGCGTTGCTGGAATTGTACTTTTAGGTTAGAATGCTGCCAGAAAATAATTATGCATTATTTTACCTAAGAAACAAATGGTGTAATACCTGGAGTGTGTCATGTGGTCTCTGTTTGAAATTAATTTCAGGCTGTGTTTGCTTTTTTTTTTGTTCAGAAACATTAACCAATGTTTCACAAAACTGCAGAAGAGGTACCTTTTAAAAATATCCTTGTTGTTGACAGTGGGCTGAAACACATTTGTTTAACCAACGCCATCACCGCTGCTTCCCTTATGTGTTTACTCTGCCCATCAGACTTTAAGGTGTTTATCAACGGCACTCAATCCGAAGCACAGGAGGGCGATGACATCACTCTAACCTGCCTCCATAACATTTCCGATATGAATGTGACGTATAAGTGGAACAAGGATGGGACCGAATTGAAAAACAAAAAAGGACAAAAGCTCTCTCGCAAAGTGCTTTCGAAAGATGCAGGCGAATACATCTGCTCTGTGCAGAGCCTGTGTGGCAATTACACGTCTTCACCACACGATGTCACTGTACACAGTACGTACACATCTCTATGCTGTTCTGACTATGGATTTGAAGTCATTAACCAAGGGCCTGAATGTGGTGCATTTTACAATTTCTAATAGGACAAAAAAAGAAAGCAGTAACATTTCTTGGATTTTAATATAAATAATGAAATGCTTAAACACTTCACCAACCCTTTATAGCACGTGTTGTGGCTGCCGGTCTGTGTTTTTGTGTGTGTAATTGTGTGTTCTTGTCCAGACAACAGCGTGATCCTCTTGGTGATCTGTGGTGTTGCAGCTTTGGCCTTGGTCTTGGTTCTGGGGCTTGCTATGAAGTTCAAGCTGGAAAAAGACAAAGGTAGGAGCTCAGTTTAGAGTGTTTGTGCTGGTTGACAACAAAAAGGGAAGGACAACAAATAAAGCACCTCTTGTTTCTCAAATATCTTCTTTATATATATATATATATGTATATTGTAGGTCTACGTTACCTCTTAGTGTATAAATAGCATATTTAAAATACCTCAAAGCATTCTGTTAAAGGCACGTGTTTGCTTTCATGAAACGATTTAGACGAGATGTTGGTACTACTGTGGTCTTATTTAATGGACTAATCTTTCAAGTGTAAGGCTGTAGTCAGCAGCCACTCAGCATAGTTTAGCACACAGGCTAGAAAAAGGTAAAACAGCTAATCTGGCTCTGTGCAAAGGTAAATCCACCTCCTCCACCAGCACTTCTAAAGCTCACTAACAATATATCATCATCTGTTTGTGTGGAGATGAGTCAATATTGCAAGTCTACGATTAGCAGCATGAAAAAAAATGTAAGGAATATTATTTTGGAAATCACTTATTTGCTTTTTTTGCCAAATGTCAAGCAAGAAGAGACAGCCTCATGTCTGTACATGAAACTGGAGCCAAAAGCCAGTTATTATATTAACTGTCACTGTGGTAAACTGTCATTGTTACACTTTGGATTAAACATAATGTGATAATTAAAGAACTTTAGAGGTTCTGGTCGGTGAATTCTGTTATCCTGGGAATGAGGCAGTTTTTGTGCTAAGCTAAGCTAACTGATTGCAAACTCCAGCAACATTTCCCCCTACAAACATGAGAGTGATAATGTTTTTTTGTTTGTTTTTTTGTGCAGCTAGACACAGAGAGAGGATGCAGCAGAGGGCACAGATTGGGCAGACTGGCGGTCCAACTCCATTCACACCAAGAGACTCCTGAATGAGACACACTCTGTCACATTTATATGTCATGAATACTGACCTTTTTTCATAATCCACTGTTGTAGTATTTAATACAGAAATAAAAACTCCCCAGTCTCTGTCTTTGAGCCTAAGCGTGTGTGATCAGATGTGGTTACAAGCCTGTGAGTGGGCCTTTTTTCACAGCAGGGTGAATTCATGATGTAACGCAGCAGTCATGTTAGCCTGTTCAGTTGAGAAAAAGAGCCTAGAAATGTTTTAATCCAGACGCAGGATAGCCGTGCTCGCACTAATCCTGCCGAATGCTCTACTCACAGGAGCGCACACTACACAGAGCAGCTTTACAGTGGCTGCCGTGTAATGGATATATGGGACGATAATGCTATCCACTCCTCTCCAAGAGGGGGATGTATGTGGGATTTGAGAGTTGACTTATGAACACAGAAATACTAAGTTCCCTGGTGCAACAACATGATATAATCCTTTCAAGTGTATGTGTTCGGCGCACGCATGCTGCTAGTGCTCACGCTGCCCCGAGTGTCTTTGTTTTTCTGCATTAACAGCATATTTTTCCTTCAACCATATGGCAGAAACTTCTTTTTTTTTTTTCTCTGTGTGTGTGAGTGGGTCAGGAAGGACTGTATTCTGTTTCCTCCTATGGCAGGTGGCTAAGGGATAATCCAGGTAAAGCCACTGCAAAGTGGAGATGGAGGGATGGACGGAGGAAGGAGGGGGAGGGAGAATGGGGTGGCCTTTGCATGGATGACTAGGGCTAATTCTGGCCTCCTAATCCCAGTCCCATCCACCCTCCCCCTCTTCCTGCTTGCTAACTCTACAGTGACACTGAGGAGCAATTGACGCCCAGGTAGATATTACAATCACATACACACATAGCACTTAACCCACTCAAGTTCATAGAGAAGGAGGCGAGAAAAGACCGAGGTAGCTGGTTCCATTTTCTGGATAGCTAACCTGGGTGACCTGGATAGCTAACACACCTGTGTGAGCTTCACTGGAGAATGTAGCTGCAGCCCTCCAGCCAAGCCACAGGAAACACACCAACATGGGAGAAGCTCAAAAGGTAGGTGACCTGATCTGGAGTAACGGGACTTATAAAACCAAATGTGAGCCTTCATTGATACAAAATCATTTCCCACAGGTGGTCATGACTCACACAGTGTGAATCATCAGACATTTTACAGTATTTCTGTATGTAGATGCAGCTCTCAGCCACAGGTGGATTATCTAAATTCCTTTGGTTGTGTTTATACAATATAGCAGCTATGATAATGCTCCTAAATGGGATCTCTGCGATGTGCAGTTAATCATGCAGACACGAGGATCTGTTGCATTATTTCAAATGTTTAAACCTACAGTACCTTTGCAGTCTTGCTGCTCTGTCTGGTTGTACAATCTCCCAGACTAATTAGTTAATTAATCAGGTCACTAATGTATGAATGGAGCTCTAAATGAAGCAGCAGATTCATTGTTACTGAATGTGAGTGTTAGTTGTAAAGTAGCTACCGGAGACGGGAGTGCAAGGTGGAGCGTCGCGGCCACACATATGTATGCTCAACACTGCCGTCTGCGAGGGGCGCTTTGACCTCGAGTCAGAACGAGGTCAGGAAGATTTTATTAGTTTTCAGTTGGAAATGGTATCTGTCTTTTCATTTACCTCATGATATTGGATGTTTCGAGAGTATGTCAGCGCAACATTACACCCTGGAGGAAAGTAAAGAAGATCATTTTCTTTTGCTCAATCATCTGGCTTTCCAATAATATAATGTCAGAACTGGATGACACTCTTGCCTGATTTAATCCGTAGAAGTCTTTTTTTTTTTTTTTTACCATTACTGTGAATTGTGCATGTTTTGTATTCTAAACCAAAAACAGGAGTTTTAAAAATCCAGCAACAAATGATACTTAAGACACATGAGATAAATGTAATCTACAAGTACTTAAAGGTGCTGCAGTCAGTCTTATGATCTGGATAACGCTGTTCTGTTTCCCTCACTGACCCTCCTGCCCGTCTGCAGGGCTTACTCTCTGTCATAGAGAAACTGAAGGGATCCACAGAGCAGGAGGTCAGGATAGTGCTACTGGGGTTGGACAACGCTGGCAAGACCACACTGCTGAAAAGCCTCGCCTCTGAGGACGTAAACACTATCACACCAACACAGGTGAGAGCGAGCTGTGTGTGCAGCAGGCCTGCACGGCATAATAAGAAACACTACGCGACACACTCGCAGATGATGTTTTTGTGTCTTTGTTTAATTGAATTCATCTCACCATGAACAGCTGAGCCACTACAACATAATTACCTGATGTTCTTTATTAAGTGTGTTTCAGATAAACAGGGTTACTCTGCCAGCAATATTCCATCAGAATTTTGTTAACAAACGAGTTACCATGCTTTCGACATTAAAGCAATTTGTCTGCTGGGTGCTTTTGACAAAAAAAAATACACTGTTTTATAATGATGGATTTATGTTGTTTGACTGAAGCTTATCAGAAGACAGTCTCTTTTTTTCATAATACTATAACCCAGAGGATTGGGTGTAATCTTGTAAGACCAGCTGGACCAACGCACACTCTCGCTCAAACTAATGGGATTCAGATGACCTTTGGTTTTCTGACACACTGTGAAATGAATTGATTGGCCTTATATGACACATGCTTTAACCACTCGTCAGTGAAATGATAATGCATGTCGCATCGCGCCATTATCCTGTTGAACAACCTTTCATCGGGAGATAAACCGCGGCCTTACATGACCCTGCTGATTTGCATGCTCTCAACACTTTTTCTGAGAAGATCCTGGCATTCTGGCGGCGTCCCATATTTTATCACCTCCCTCTGATGTAATTATCTAACCTCTAATATCATTATCTAATACCCTCGCATTGCTCTACCGCAACAAGACAAGACATCAACAGATGCACTTCCAGGTCCTGAGCAAGTGTGACACTTGATCAGACAGCAGACAGAGAGGATGTGGTGCAGTATGACATGCCAATGGTCGCCACAAAGATAAATCAGATTTGGCACATGAACACAAACACTTCACTTGATCCTTCCAGTCTTATCCTCAGATCTGTGCCTCAGCTGGCCCTCAGGATAAAGTTGTTATACAACTTAGCCAGCTGAAACAGAGAGGAGCTATGTTATGAAAAACGTCTGCGGATTAACACAGTGACCATGTCCTTATAAACGCGTAAACGCTCCTGCTGATACGTAACGAGTTTTCAACAGAGAGTAATCAAACAGTGATTAATTTAATACACAAGACCGTGTTCTAGTACACTGCCACTTAATGAATTGCCTCATAACCGTTTACAAGACTTTGCAGGTGTAGCGGAACAGTTTTAAATTGAAGGCGGTGATGTGTAGTACAGTGACTCCAGCTTTGTGTTTTCTTTCAGGGCTTCAACATAAAGAGTGTTGCCTCTCATGGCATGAAGCTCAACGTTTGGGACATTGGAGGACAGAGGAAGATCAGGCCCTTCTGGAAAAAGTACCTGGAAAACACAGACCTGTTGGTGAGTAGTTACATTTATTTAAAGTAATTTCAAATCTACATTTTTTTCTGACAATTAGCATAACAGAAAATACCTAAATTATGATACTTTTTACATACTAAATTGCTATATGTGTGGACAGTGTAGTACATGTAAGCACAGGTTAAGTGCTTAAATTGTATTTTAATGAAGGTAAAACTCTAATCTTATTGAAACAATGTGACAAAAGGTGTATTTTATTGTTATTTTACATTGAGTTTTGGGCACCTTCAGTGATTTCCAAGCAGATAGTCAAATGTGAAGGCAAAAAAGAAATCTTATCATCCATGAACTGTCTGTTTTCTTTTCAGTAAATGTGGATATGATGCTAGTAAACTGTGTTTGCTGTTTCAGATTTATGTCATTGACAGTGCAGATAAGAAGCGGTTTGAGGAGACGGGTCTGGTGAGCCTGCAGATGCATTCTGACAAAAACCAAAGCAAAATTAACAATATCACATATTTTCTTCACAAAAGTCGCTTACAAGTGGTTGCATGTGTACGTATGTGCAGGAGCTGTCTGAGCTGATCGATGAGGAGAATTTAAAGGGCGTTCCGGTGCTCATCTTTGCCAATAAGCAGGATCTGGCCACAGCATCACCGGCCAGCGAGATTGCCGAGGGACTGAATCTGCATACATACCGGGACCGCGAGTGGCAGATTCAGGCCTGCTCAGCTGTGTCAGGGGAGGGAGTACAGGTCAGAGCCAACTCTGATTTATTGATTTCTCCTTCAGAGGGAACCTAATTAGCCACATAAAAGTGCTCCCTATGCTCCTGCGGCACAATATTGCATTGAAAATCACTCTGAACTGTTTTAATGGAGACTTTATTCTCTCAATAATGTTTTTCACCTGCTTAGTTGGATGATCTTGACTGTTTTTCATCCTCAGACTGTCTGGACTCATGTATGAAAGTGATTTTTTTTTTTCATCAATAGGATGGCATGAACTGGATCTGCAACAACATTGTGAACAAGAAGAAGTGAACCAGCATCTCAAACACCACCGACCGGAGTCAAACCGAGGGGCAGCGTCAAATGAGGGATCACAAAAATATGTCCCGTCATTCAATATCTGCAAACCTCATCTTTGACAGATTCAGCTCCCCTCACAGATTTGAATGCTAATTTTGTTTTTACAATTTGTGTCATTTTTATGGATATTTTGCAAATGTAGCTAATAAAAATAAACATTTTAGCTACAATAAGTAAATTAGGAATTTATTAATTACTGTTCTGACCTAAAAAAAAAAACAAATTATGTTTTTGTTCCCATCTTCCCAAAGTTCCTTGTCTGGTGAATCTGTGTGCTTCCCTAAACACTCAGAAACCCAAGCTGAGTGTGTAGAAATGTAGGACTGTTGCGGTTTGTCAGTTACATAGAGACCAGTTTGGTGTGAGTGTAAAGTATGTGTTTTGGGAGTTTTTGACAATAAATTGATTAGTCATTTCTGCTATTTTGTTTGACTTGTTTTCAAATCAGCTGAAGCCATCAGTATTCAGATGATCTAAATATATGTACATACATGCACAAACAATAGGGGCAGCCGCATTACCGGTCAAATTACAGCTCTAAAACTGTCAGTGACAGACAGAAAACACACAAATGCGACCGTAAGAAAAATCACTGAGTGACAAGAGGAACAATAACAAGCTGATCGGCTCCTGCTCAGCTGTCATCTTGCTTTATTTCCACAACATGATGACAAGCTCTTACATTGTACAGTGAGAAAGAGACTAATTGAAAAGCAAGAGTTGGAGAGAAGAGAGTTTACAATTACGCACTCACATTGCATGGCAAAACAAGATATCAGATCTTCAAGGCGCAGCAGAACAAACAGTGCAGGAAATTACACGCAGAGAGGCTGACTAATTTTCAGCAGGGACACTTTTTCTCAAATGTTTTATATGTTAATTCTGGGGCTGTTACATGGTATGCAGCCTCTCTTGCAGCAATGTGTCTGTTTGTCAGGATCGCTTTTCACAGAGGTAGTTGGTCATATGACACACCTCACATCCAGCTGTGAGCGCTGCGTGTTCTTCCGGCAGAAATGCAAATAGTCTGCTTTGTGTGAGAAAGTTTGAGTAAAATCCTTCTTGGTTTTCTTTGTTTTGGGCTCCGCAGAAGGATGGTTCAGATCATTGGTTTTAGAGTCACTTCATTCCTCCAGGGAGGACAGCAGTCAGAGACCCTCCAGGCTTGAGGGCCCACACACCCTTGTGGTCATTCTTCACATATTTGTCCTTTAGACTGACCTTGGTGTAGACTAAGCCCTCCATTCAGCCATTTTGGCTCTGCTTAACTGCAGTTGGATTTAATGGATCCTTTGTTTCTATTGTCTGGAGCTGTAATTAACCATCTGAAAGCACTCTAAAATCACATCAGCTGGCAGGCTTTGTTCTGAGTCCTCCTCTACATGAAATTATGCAAATGAATATTTTTGCTATTTTTTATTTTTTTGTCTGGTATTTATGAGTTGTTCTTGGGGAGTGGTGAGGGGGGGAAACTGCCATTTAGTTTGCTTGGAAAGTGTTAACAAAATTACCGATTATTGGTTGAATAATTTAGTCATCTCCATGGCGACTAAAATTTGGAGCAAGTCCTAAAACATTTTTAGGCTTCTTTTGAGGGAGCACAGCAGGAGGTGTGGGGCCAATTAGAATTTGTACTAAAGGATCATTATGGCAGTTTGAAAGAGACCAGACGGCACAGGAGCTGGGAGGACGGGGAGATGAGTTAGCACTTTGTAATGGGCTGTTCAGTGCTGCTTCTTTTACCAACAGGGGGCAGTATTAGAGGGTCTGATCAATCTCAGGGCCGAAGAGGAGCCTCTGCTATTTCCAAACAAGCGATATGACACAATATAATTTCACGTCTTTCTTGTTGTTGCATTCTAAAGCTCAAATTGGGAGGGTGGTTTTATTTTTGCCTGCAAACACAAATAAATTAAAGATTGAAATCATTTTAATTAGGTGATTACTCTTCATTTTGAACTCATTTTGCTCCATTTGTTTAAAAATGTCCAAACATCTCCATCTGTTGACTATAAAACACATTATTAATCTTGAGGTGATATGATGTCACTCCCGTGCGAGTGTCCCCTCAGCGAGTGTTGCCATGGCAACCCTCCCTGTTACCAGTGGTCCACCAGCCACCTTTCCTCTTCAGTCCAGCGCGCTCTCTCCCTCTCTCTCTCCTTCTCTCTCTTTCTCTTGTCCTCCATTTCTCTCATTTTCCAAGGCTGTGTTTACCAACAGAAGCCCTGCACAGAGTCCTGCACACAGACAGACAGAAAAACAACACTGCAACTACACATCACAGGTAGGAACAAGAGACGAATCTGCGTTTGGTTGTCTGAGGGAAAGATAATTAACCTGCTGCTTTTTATTATACTGGGTGGAATTGTGTTGCTAAAATTAATAATGCCAGACTTTATCTGCCATGCTAAGCTTTGCCCCAAATTTCATAATGTTAAGCTTGTGTTATTCTGTTGTTTTCAACTGATTGGTTTATTGTTACACGTGACTGTCTTGCTTTAATTAGATATTACTACTGTATCTTACTAATGCAAGTGTTCATCTCTACATGTGGTAAAGAAAATTACAAAAAATGTTTTCTTCTTAAAGCTGCAACTAAATCTCCAGAGCACATCCTCCCATCATGCCAGAGGTCATCCACCTGACTTCCATGCAGCCCCAGTTGTCCACAGCGACTCCTCTGCTGCCCCGTTTCACTGCTAGCCTCCTGACCACCACCACACTTCTCCCACAAGAGAAGTTGCACATGGAAGTGCACACCATCCTGATTGTGGCCATTTTTTGTGCGGTCTGCTTTCTGCTCCTGCTGGCCTTTTTCTATGCCTTCTGCTTCCACTGCTCCATCAATTCATCACTCAAAGACTCCCAAACAACCAACGGATGCAGCCTAGATCGCGAGGACGCCACCTACAAGTGCAGTTCATCTGATAACCTCTCTGTAGGGAACATTGTCTGACCGGGATGCTGGACCAGGATTAACTGATATCTTGTTATGCTTTAACTCCCATATTCATTTGATATTCATTTTTACCTGCAGCAACAAGTAAACTAGGCAATCACATAAAATACAGCTATGATGTATTTCTAAGCTCAAATGCAATGACATATGGAACTGTGTTTAATAAAAGCATGTAAAATATGTGAACATACAGATGTGCGTCTCAATGCCAATGCTTATGAGTGAAAAGTAAAACAATAACAAATGGATCGACACATTGCTCAGCAGACGTCTCACTTTATTTTCACTGAGCAGACAGGCAATTTCATCGTGCCATGGCTGTGTGTTTGACTGATACAGAACAATAAGCTGATACATGCAGGATGAAAGACGGAGAGGGAGGAGACGGAGGAGCGATTTATTCACAGGACGAAGCAAGATGTCACATCCACAAGGTGCAGCAGAACATCGAAAACACTGAGCTCGTGCCACATGGCAGCACACACTTATTATTACTGAAGTATATTACACAATAGGTGCACTGCAAAGTTTCAGTTTGCGTTGCGGTGACTAGTATGAGGAATGAAATGGAGAAGTGCCTGCTCACTCCTAAAGCCAATAGAGATTTGAAGGAGCTGTTGGTGTAAAATTACACAAATGGCTGCAGCTGATTTTTTTATTGTCAAAGCAAAATAAGCACTGATGATTTTGATGTAAAATCTAACAGCACACAGGGTCACTCAGAATTCCAAGGATTAGATTCTAGTCAGTATACAAACATGTCATCTGATATTGCCTCGGCATCAACACAACAACTGCTTCAAAAAGCTGAAATAACAGCTAAAACCTGCATTTCTATCTGCCATCTGGCCTATGATTCAGCGCTTTGAGCTAGCTGTACAAAAAGCGCTTCAGAAGGAGTAATACACAAGAATTACTGGCATCAGCATCAGATAGCGTCAGCTTTAAAGACACAGCGGTTCACGACACGGAGCACATGGCACTTTTGGAGCAGCGGGAGTCACAGGAGCTGTCACGGGACTCCATCATGGAGTCTCTGCCGTCAGACTCAGGTGAGTCCAGTTCAAGGTGAGAGTCCTCGAGCTCGTCCTGCAGAGCATCCTTAAAGTGGGACTGGGAAAAGAACAAGAAATGTATCACATAAATAACAATCAATATCAATCATATTGACTTGTATGGATGAAAAGAAAACGATTTAGAAGGAGTTATATTCAGAGTCATTAAAAGTCTATCATTCTAGAAATCACATATTCGCTCTCACCTTATGAACAGACATCTCTTCCACCCGGCACTCCTCTATTGACTCCTCCAGAGAATGGCCTGAAATCTCCATTTTGATACGATGAGAGCGAATAGACTTGACATCATCCTCATCCTCCCCTGCTACCAGCGGGAAAACCTGAGGGCAGAGACAGACGGAGTCATAGAGATGATGATGATGGTGAAAATGAAGCAAATGAGAGTCTGCAGCATTGAAGCGTGTCTCAGCTGAACCTTTACCAGTCCCTCCTCGTCCCCTGTGGCCTCAGGGCCTGAGATGGTGGCCTTGCTGATGGCCTTACTGATGGTCTGGGTCTCAAACTGAGGACACGCTGCCTGAGCATTCCCATCCTTGTCCCTTTTTCCCTTCAGCCAGTATGTCTCAATTTCAACGTTCCCCTAAAAATGGAATGAAGGGAAGAAAAAAAAAAAGCCGAAGAGAGATTTAGGTTTTTTTACATAAAGATGCCTGACACATGCACAAAAACTCAAAGATATACGCTCAGAGGCACAATCTCTGTTATGGAAGTAAAATGGCAGGTGCCAGATTTTCAATTCCCTGATGAAAAATGATTCACTCTCTCTTTCTTGAGATTGGCACCTGTAATCAGTTGCCTCAGAAACCTTCGGGAGTCACTTTGCTGGTATTATCACAGAATGTACAGCCTCAAAGTCGAGCCCCACGATAAAATGGCAAATCAACAAGCAAGCTGCGATTACCAGCTGTGAATACTAAGTGCGCCGACTCCCCAGAGCCAAAACATTGTGAGTTATTATTATTTTATATATTTTTGAGGTTCTGAAATGTGCACCCTGTCTGATTGCTGATACACAAACCTTCCATTAGAGCAAATTAGAGCTTCAGCCTTTGGCCCTTATTTGCAGATAACATGTATTTAGTCTGGAGAGGAGACGTGCATTTAATACTTTTTTAAAGCATCATAACTATTTATTATTGTTTTGTTTTTTTTTATCACATGTTAGTGTGTGTTCATTTGCGTGTGCTTTAAATAAAACGCATTAAGTCCTTTGAGTTAAATTGAATTGAACTGATTTGAACTTTGTGTTACACATGTTGTTGTATGGCAATTGCTAATTAGTTGCACGCAGTCGTAGCGGTTGATTGCATGCTGTGAATGAGGAAGGTGCAGTTGCTACGGTAACAGCTTTGACCCTTGACCTTGATTGTAATAATGCCCCTCCGTTCGAAAATGAAGTGACTTCCTTTCAGGTGCTCGTAGGTGGCGCTGCTGAGCTGAATGTGCATCTCCTGATTGGGACAGAGAGCGAGCAGTCACGACAAAATCACAGACAACTAATACTTGCTAAGTATATACAGACATTTGTATATGTAGAGAAAGAGACGTTGTTTTTTCAGTTTTTGAGAGACATGATCGGTCTTTCACCCACCTTCCCGTTGCTCTCCATGGCAGAGGCAGTGTGGACAGTGTCGCCGTGCAGACCATAACGTGGCATCTTGTGTCCCACCACACCTGCCACGACCATCCCAGAGTGTATCCCTGCAAGCACAGCAGTCGATCAGTTCAGTCACCCTGACATATACACACTGACAGCTCCGTGCACCGCCTACCCACCAACACGAATCTGGATGTTGTTGCCGTTGGAGGGGTCTTTGAGGTGATCTATGGAGCGCACCATGTCTAAGGCCATGTCGCAGATGTTGTGAGCGTGATACTTAGTCTTCTCCGGAGCTCCCGCAACCACCATGTATGCATCTCCAATGGTCTCAACCTGGACAAAAAAAAAACAACACACACACACACACACACACAGGGACAGCAGTTCTTACCTGGGAGCACTTGTGTGGGAAAAGTGTAACACGTAAAGAAAAAAAAAAAAACAACACAAACCTTGAAGACGCGGTGCTTCTCACTGAGCGTGTCAAACAGCGTGTACATGGTGTTGAGCATGGAGACCACCTGCATCGGAGTGATGTGGCTGCAAATGCGAGTAAATCCCACGACGTCGCTGAAGAGAATGGTCACATCTGGGAACACCTGGGAGGAAAGGCATTAAAAGAGCAGGTGAGGCGACGGGTTGATGTATTGCACACACATACAGAGGTGAGGGAGGCAGTACATGCTCTTATTAAAAAGCAAAAAGTCTCCTGTAGTATGAATATGAAAGATTTATAAGGGTGGTGTCTGTTTAGGTTGCTTTTTGCAGTTGGAAGAAAAAAGAAACTTACTCCCTGGTAGATGCTAGATTAAATCTTTAATTACACATCTGTGCCATTTTTTAAGGTGCCTCAGTACAGGCATGTGAGTTGAAGTAAGCACAGAGCACCAGGCACAAAGGTCTCGTGGTATTCTTTACTCTCCAGCGCAGCTACAGTATATCACACTGTTATGACAGCTACCCTCTGTACTCCCTTCTCCACCATAGATGTACCTTGTCTTTGATCTCACTTTCCGCTAGACTTAATTAGGGCCAATTAAAGTGAACCATAAAAGGGAAGATTCAGTTCCTTAATAATATCGGTAAGGAAATCTCAGTCTAGTGAAAGGAAACATGAGAAGATAATATGAGAGGTGTACGGATATTATATAATCATTTGCATTTTTCTGTGTTTTCAGAGAAATTTATCTATTGATGCAGAGAAAAAAAGTCTTCTCTCCTGCCTCTGATTCCTGCATGTTGTAGAAGAATAGTATAATTCTCTATCAGTACAAAAACAGCTTAGCTTCGTGCAAAGACTAGAAAAAGGGCCTAAGAAAAGCAATATGTGTTTATATCAGACTATTTACAATCCTGACCTCACAAGTGTTTACAGCTGGCTCTCCTTTGCGCAGCCTTTTAGCAACCGGCTTGGGAATCATCCTGTACAGGAGGTCGTCTGTCTTCTTCATCTCGTAGTCCAACATCTTCATGCTCTCTTCCAGCTTACTGGACTTCTTCTGCTCCTGCGCTCCCGGGGAAGAGGGAGGAAAACAGAAAAAAAAATATTGTTTAGTTTGTATCTCGGCTCTGCAGACTGTGATCTGGGACTGCTTGACTGAAAGAAGAGCCTCAGAGCAACTTTGCATAATGCAGAGTGACAAGTGGGTTGATCACACATATAAAATGTAGCGGCACTTTGGCACAAGGAACCTGTATGAGAGCTCTCTTCAGCTCCTCCGACTGCTGCGTGCCCGCCAGCACCAGGTCTCTGCTGGAGTCGTGCATGCTCAGGTCGTTAATGTACAGGCCGGTCTTAAACATTGCGCTCAGACTCTCCATCCTGCAGTTAGAAAGGAGAAGAGGGAGGAAGGAGAGAACAATGGTTATATTAAATAATATGCACTGAAACAGCTCCAGAATCCATTACATTATAATAGCATTACCTATAAAAACTGTAGGATGAAGAGACGGGAATCATGGGAAACATTATTTTTAGTTTCCTGCGATATCAATAATGTAAGCAGTGGGGTGTGGCGTTTAACATTTCAGAAGCTTTGTCAATACAGGCATAAGGGCATTTTGCTTGCAAAACAAAATGTTTCAGAAGAGGAGGGAGATGTTTTGGTAATGTACTCTGTGGAAAACACTCTCAGTTGCAAATGGGTTCCCATTAGGCTCACAAGAGCTGCACTGTCTGATTACAAGCTAATTAGCAGCTCATTTCATGCATGGTAAGTGCTGTTAGAATGGGCCCCTGATTTGATTCACTGCCCAGGCTTTTATTTCCAGCTTCGTAATTCAGTTTAGCTCTTGCTGCTTTTTAGAATGTTTTACTTTTCAGCTGCAGTCTTTTAATAAAGGTCTGTATCGATGTGTGTGTGTGTGTGTGTGTGTGTGTGTGTGTGTGTGCGTGTGTGTGTGTGTGTGTGGGCCTTACACAGGGGTTCCCAGGAAGATGATGGACTCCCACTCTGGCATGTATCTCATTTGTCCTTTCAGCTTGAGGCAGCGGCTCCCATCACCCCAGCTCTCCATTGCATTAGCGCTGTTACCGTCTAAAAGGGGACCAGTCAAATGCCAAGAAGACAAACATCCAGAGGTGTTTTTTAGATTAGACTTCGGCAGCAGATAATAACTGCAACGTATTACCAATTTCATCCTAATGGATTTAACATTTTAAAAGAATTGTTTGACATTTTGGGAAATGCAGTACATCATCTTCTTTCTGACAGTTGGATGAATAAATAAGTACCACTCTCATGTCTGTACAGTATGTTTAGATGAAGCTGTAGTGAATAGCTTAGATTAGGAAGTAGAAACAGCGGGAGTTTGGTTTTGTCTTAATGTAACAATGATTCATGTTGCACAGCAGGTTTTGTTCTGCACTTTTTCTTGGATGGCGGAAACTCAATACTGGCTCCAGCCTAACAACAATCCCTTTAGAGTGAGGTTGTTTTGTATTTTAACATTACTGTGCACTCATTCTCGGCCTAACTACTTCAGGGTCTCTTTGCTTGGCTCCTGCTACACGTCTGTGGAAAACAGGAAGGTCAAAACCTTTGTAATCATCTCCAATGATGGACTGGAAAGCCATGAGCTCCACATCTACGTCTGCAGAGCGATTGGCATTTTCATAGTCAGAATCTGTGAGGAAACAGGGCGAACAATCAGTCACAAACATTCGTATTTACATCCTTCACTCAGCTGAAGGTGACTAAAACATCAAACAGTTGAATTTCTGAGAAAGGCTGATTCTCTCGCACAGGAACAGACATCCATTTTGTTTTTGTTTTTTTTCAATGAAGTTTAAATTCACTGCGTCTTTTGTGTCATATAAGAACACAAGGAGGCAATTCGTTTCCAATCAGACACACACCCCTGCGAGTGTTTACACGGCTTCCGCTCTTACTCTGGACTCGGTTGTGAAGGTTCCTCTCTCTCTTCACAGGCTCCTTGGACATGATTTCGAACAGGTTGTTGGGGTGTGAGATGATCTGTGTACAGATTGCTAAATCAGCATTTTCCTCTTTCATTATCACCCTGCTTACAGTTGATATTTTAAAGATGCATGTAGTGTAATAATGCACTGGAATCGGTCGGAAAACGTAAAATAACTTCTGTCTGAAATGTCCCACCATGTTCCAGGTGAACTCCACCAGAGGGCGAGCCAGCAAAAAGGCATCATTGATCTTCTTTCCATCCAAATCAGGGAAGACTGTAGCGAGGCCCGAGCCCACGTTGTGCACCACCATGTCCTGAAGAATTTAAATAATCAGGGAGTGTGACTTCATTTCATTCCTCAACTGCCCTCGGCAACAGAAGGACGATAAATCAAAATAATTACCTGTCTGAAGACGATGTTAAAGGGGAAGACCTCAAAGAAGAAGTCGGAGGTAATGGGCAAAATCTCCTGCTCCTCCTCGTCCTCTTTCATGATGTAGCGGTAGGCTGAGTTGTCAAAGTTCAGCCTGTGAAGCCACACAGATGAAAACTTTTTGAAAAACTTCAAAGTTAATTGTTTGAAGAATTGTACAGAGCTTCGCTGGAGGAAAAGTCAATAAAAGATCCTCCTCTTTTGTCAGGGAGCACAAGCGAAAAGGGCTGGTTTAGTTTTTATATGTTGTATCTCAATCTATTGTAATTACTGAAGTTAAATAACTTTAGTAAATGTATCAAGTCACATTAAAGGAAAAGACTCAGGTAAAGAGTATCACTGGAGTAAATGTCGCAAGTTACTTTCCACAATTTATTCGTTAAAAAAAAGGCTTTGTGTGTCTTTCACTTACCTCATGGTGACATGGGAGTAGTCTCCGACCATCTGCTCAGACAGCACCTCCACATGGATGTCAGTGTCGTAGAACTGCTTCCCCATCTGCCTCAGCTGACCCATGGCATAGTGCAGGTAGCCTTTACGTTTACTCCTGCAGGTCACAGAGGAAGAAAATTGAATGTCTTTCTAAAGAGATTAATTGCACAGCTTTTCCCTCTGCTGTCCTAGTCCCTCTTTCAACTTTTACGTCCGATAATAGCCCCTCAATCTTCACCCTCTGACCAATTCAGAGGGTATAGTCACTGAACGCCCAGCCGCAGACCTGTAATGGAGGGTGACTCCGGTGGCAGATTCCTCCTGGCAGAAGAAGGTTGGGGGCTGCACCTTGGGGTAGCTGAAGCGCAGGTATTCATGGAGGTTGTCAAGGCCGTTGACGAAGTCACGGACATGCCGGCCCAGCACCTGCAGGCAGAGGCACGAAGAGACACATCAAGTCTACTCTGTTTGACTGGAGGGAAATCAATGTGTGTGAGTTTTTCTTTTTACAAACACGTCAATTTAAATGTCGTGAATTGTAGGATATTACCCTTTTATTTCATTGGGGTTATTGCATCGTGTGTGTGGAGACAAACAGATTAAAAAGCTTTTTCTTTACCGTTCTTTTTAGAGTCAATCTCTTGTGAGTCCTCCAACTTTGTGAAAATAAATAGAGTAGTTTTGTTTTATTTGGGGGTTTTTTCCCCCCCTTTATTGATCCCACAGGGAAAAATTGTCTTTTTGTCTTTTTTCCACCTTGTTAGGAAGCTGGGTCAGAGCACAGGGTCAGCCCTTAACCCCGTCAGCCCCTGGAGTAGACAGGGTTAAGGGCTTTGCTCAAGGGCATGACAGTTGCAGCTTGGCATTACTGGAGCTATTATAATTAGAATCCTCCTTTAAAGAAATGTCATATATTTATTTATATATAAATGAATCCATGACGTAGGATTACTGAGAGCACAATGATGCTCACATTTATAATTTATAATTTATCAGAACTGTGACAAAACATTTAAACTATTCCTTTAATGTCTTGAAAGACTGAATCCACAAAATCGAGCAGAGCAGTGCATCGAAGTGCAACTACAGCATGAACTCTTTCAAACACGGAGCCCCAGATGACAGATTCCCTCAACATCTACTGACAAAACCCACTGCAAGACACACTATTCACAGAAGTAAATACATAGTTCATGGCATATTTAATACTTATATCTATCTGTCAAAAAACAACACAGTTCTGACACTTTTGATTCTGCAGTCTTTTCCCACCTTGAGGATCCTGTCATAGCCATATTTCCCCACAAAGCCCAGGAAGTAGACGCCCCAGGAATTCATGAGCTCATTGTAGGGCGTTCCTGTCACTCCGCTGGCTGCCTTTGCAATCCGGGGAATCACGCTCTCACTATACACCTGCAGATGCAAGCGTTATCACTTAGAAAACACAGACTTTTTGACATCAGAACAATGAAGTCTCAGACAAAAGCAACAGACTTGACAGATAAAAGTGCAAAGTACACCACGCTACAGACCTCACAAGCATTATTATTCCACGCATAGACATGCAATATTATGTCATATTGTAGACACTGTACCTGGTGGGTGACAAAAGAGTGCAGTCTGACATCTGCTCTCTCTCTGACAAGCTTCCACACATCATCTCCGTACGACTCCTTGATGAAGTCATGAAGACTCTCACACAGCAGCCCATACATTATTTCTCTCTGGATTGAAGCTCAAACTGAGCACTGTCAAGGCGGCTCCCCAGCTGATTGACTTCCAACAGTCCTCCCAAAGGCACCTGCGAGCGATAAGAAAAGTTCAGAATGATGACTTTTTCAGTGCTGCAAGCTGAATTTTAATGCATTTAGCTTTCAGCGCGAAGCTATAAAAAGATATGTACTTAATATTGCTGCTTTTGCTGTCTCCTGCTCTCAGCCCTGCCAATAAGGTTTCATCAGAAGGCCAACAGGGCAAACCGTTTTAAAGGTGCCCTAATTACACAACCCCTTGAGCATGAATGGGCCCCTATTGTTCTTGTGTCAGCTGTCAGTGCCTGGTGGCTGTGCACCTTCTCTATGTGACACGAACACGCTGCGGAAGAAACCTCTCAAACACAGATGACACCAATCATGAGAAATTGCTCCGTTTTCATCTTGTTACCGTCTTGTCGGCCGTTTTGGGGGGGAAATGTGTTTTCAAACCGCTGATGTACGAGTAGGCACTTGTTATAATTACCTATTGTGTAATAAATTGTCATGAGAAATAGGTTTAAACAGGTGATAGATTTATTCTAATCGCTACGGCAGAGCCACATAAAAGCCTTGAAAGAGGAATACAAGCGGCTCTGGGGTCTGTGTATAAAGCTAAATTGCTTTTTTCTACTAAACAAACACTCCTAAATAAACCTTTAATGGGCAGCAACTCTTCAACTTCTGTTGTGTGTCTGTAGATAATTTTCTGTGACTCAGGATGACTTCACATTTTCTTTCAGAGGCCAGGAGGCTTCCCACTGGGAGATAGTGGTATTGTGGAGCAGGGCAGGTGCGGAATCGATATCCAATCTCAGCAGGGATAAAGAAAATGTTTTTTCCCCTCCAGCCTCCTGCTGAGCTCAATGAATCAATTTGGAGGGGGAAAAACCGCATGATAAAAACTAACTTAAGTTCAAAAAGGGCAACTAAATATAAAGTTAAAGGTCATTACTTATCGTTTAACAGGAGGAAAAAAGGATTTATGCAGAAATCAAAGGTGGAGTTTCGCTGCAGTTGGTAAACAACAAATAAATGGAAGCACAATGGCTAAAACATAGTGCTGCTATTTAGCACAATCTTTAACACTACTGAATAAATGCCTGTCACTCACAGCAGTTAGAAATATCGGGATGTCAAAGGTCTCACACCATCAGAAAACTCAAGAGCAACCTGCCACAGTGTTTAGCCTTTGGCCCGAAACTAGAATATGGAGTCGCAACCTCTGATCACAGCAACCTCATCAATTTTAAAGCAGCTCCCATAAAAAACCGCCTGTGTATGTGTCTGTGTCTATGTTTGCAGTGGGGAGGTTGGATGCTTGGCCTCTATGTGTCAGTGTCTGGACAGCTGCTATCACAACACACACACACACACACACGTACGCACGCACAGAGGGGATCCAATTTTTATTATGGAAGAAGCTCGAGGTCAAGATGTAAATCTTTGCTCCTTAATCGTCCTTTTATACACCTCCCCCCCCTCCCCTGAAGAAAAACACTCCCTCAATCCATCCTCACTCTCTTACCCCTCTGCTAAAATAAACCCAATGAGGTAAGCACCGGAGGCGTTCTGGGATGAGTTTTATACAGACTGTTCCTTCTCTGCTGAGGAGTGTCAGAGCGGAGCGTGGCGGCATCCCAGCTCCAGTCCGGGACAAAAGCACCCAAGAGCAGCTCCAACGTCCAGCATACAGACGGGCAGGTAAGAACTGAGGTGAAGAGGGGCTGCAGGCTTTAATATATCTGCAAATAGGAAGTGACATAGCAGCAAATAGAGGGTTAGGCCTGGAAGTTATTAGAGGCTTAAATGGAGAGCAAAGATCCTGAAAGTTAATTTAATGTAAACTTGCACTTTGGTTTGCTATGGCCCTGATTTTTGATTATTCTGGTTATACATGAAATTAATAGAGAGCTTTGCATGTGTGTAACTATATGTGTAGTTAATCTTTCCACATTTTTTGGACCCGAAACACGCAATAAACATGGCTGGGCACACTCACTTAACAAAATGGAGGCGTCCTTAAAATAACCTCTGACTGTGTGGCTAAGTTTAACATCAAGAACAAGAAAACTGTGAGCTTTTGTTGCTAAATCAGAAGAAATGACAAGAGATTAGTGGTGTGTATTAAAGAGGTGCTAGAAAAACCTTATAATAATATAAAAATGTTTGTGTTTGTCAGAAGAAGAACATGATGATGATGATGCAGTCCGGCCTGGATGACGTGACCAAGCAGCGGATGTTGCAGGCGAGGGCTCTGTCCAGGGAGGCCAGGGGAGGTAAGTGTTGGTTTGTCAGGACAATATGTGTACATAATATTTGGAGGTAAGCTGATACGCATATTAGTTTACATATTGGTTTACACGTTGCATCAACAAGTTGTGTGTATTTACACTCATATTCTGCCTGCCATGGTGTCAAGATGTAATTGAGCCAAACATCAAAGTGTGCTCGCCCACCGCCCGGAGACAAGTGGACTTGTGGTGCGCCCAAATCCCAAGAGTGCCAGTGTGTTGTTGAAATACTCCAAACATTCCAGCAGGGACCATCCCAGTCGCACTGTTTGCTTTCCAGTGCTGTCCGCCAGCTAGGCTTTGAAACCAAGTCTCCCAAACTCAGCAAAATGTGACTCCCACCACTGAATTTTTTACACAGGCCGATCAAAGGCAGCTCCTCGAGGGTGGCATATGCCCAGACCTCTTCTAACGCTTATCATGTGCAAGTAAGAAGGCCGTCCGCTTTTACGCAAGTCTTTCATCCAAAGATCCTATTTATATGCCCCGTTACCCCTGCAACTCTCGACCACAACAAACATTACACACCACTTGACATCATCTTGAGGCTATTTCAGACTCTCCAATGTGCTATGATATAATATGAGAAGAGACCCAAAGCTGAGAGGCTTCTAACTTAGTGATGCTGCAAATGGTTTTGCTTTTTTATATCAGTCCCCTTCAGCTGTTAAATGTTGACAGAAACAAAAAGACCAGAGGAGACATTATGATTTGCCAAAGGTCCTTATTAGTCTCTTTCAAAATGTCTGGAAGTTTGCTGCAAACACTGCCTTTGCACCAACAACTAAACGTCATGATATATTTATGGAAGGTTGAATGAGGCAAACGGTTCTGTCTGCTGTGAATCTTGGCTTCAGGATAGCCGGCGTAATGACTTATTAAAGCACCAGCTCCGTTTGTCTGTTGTGTTGTGCAAAAGGACTGAACCTGGGGAAGAAGATCAGTGTTCCAAAAGACGTGATGATGGAGGAGCTCAACCTCCCCTCTAATCGAGGCTCTCGCATGTTTCAGGAGAGGCAGAGGAGGGTCGAGAAGTACACGCTGGAGAACGCCACCGACGGTGCTTACAACACCGGCACTGTAAGGAACTGAGACATAAAACATGACGAAGCACGTCCGCTGAGCTCACTGCAGCCTGTTATGAACCAGTGTTTCTGTCAGGTATTTAATAATAACAGCATCCCGGTGTGCTGGATGTATCAAGGAGCTGTAACGGCAAATCAAGTCTGACCTTTCTTAGTGTTTGCTGTCTCTTTTCTTTTCTAGTACAGCAGCAGGCCTTAAACATGCTACTGCAGGAAGAGCAAGTGCAAAGTGGAGCGTGCCATCTTAGAGCTCCTCCCATTTTGAGGAATGACATCAACAAATACTAATATGATAAATGCTGGGTTGTTATTGAAAACAGGAGCAGGGCTGCACAAGAGATTTAGTATTGCACTAGCTGTAAAAATTGTCAAAGAATATTATGTTTATTTTTTGCTTTAATTTAATTTAAGAAAACTAAATAAAATAAACAGTATTACATCAACAGCTGCTATGCCAAAAAAAAAAGCTAAAATAATAATCTTGTAAAATATAGTAATTTCACATAATTAGAATAAATGTTTAATTTTACATGCTCTTAGGTGTATTTGTTGGCTTTTACTGTTTAGTGAGGGACATTTACATGTGTGAAAAACAATAAAATACCATATATACATACATACAATTACAAAAATGGTTATTATATAATTATCATAATTGGACAAGAGATCTCTAATTTAAAACTAAATGTAAATGGTTCTAATTTCAGAAATATATTCACAGAATTAAACTTAAATTTAACAGTCAAATTTACTCAATAAAAAGGAAATATTCGTGAAATTTAAATAAATTAGTGAATTTTTATGGCAGTATTTTCAGTTTTCTTTTTAATCAAGTTCTATGGTAATTCACTGTCATGGGTTTTTAATGCCATTTTATATTTGGCATGTAAATTTAGTCTATTTTTTTGTAGTTTTATTAATATGTATGTATTTCAAAATAAGGTAATTTTCTCAGTCAATTGAAAGTTCGGTTTATGACCCGTCAGCATGTTATGAAATTACCCATCAGAGGTTTTCATTTAAAAATGAAACCAAAAAAGAAAACATTCATATTTGAAAATCTTTAAAATATTTAAACTAGGCCAGAAAATCCCTGAAGTAATTTATGGGTTGTTACAATTGCTGCACAATATTACATTTTTTATAGAGAATAGAAAACATCAGACTGGCATCAAGGAGTTCTTGACTTTCAGTCTTTTACACCAACCTCTGCAAATGCTGTCATCCAAAAACACAATTCTATTGTTAAACTTTGGAAAGCTCTTCTACAGCTGTTCTCATAAGCAGAGTAGTGCTCAGTGCCATAAGTGAACTGAATCACGTGCAGAATTAGTAAACCGCCCCTTTAATAAAGTACGTTGCAGCATTTGGGGAGTAAACTAATTTACAAAAACCTCACTTTGCATCTTTCCCAGGTTCATCTCGAGGCCGTTCCTCCCCCGCAGATCATCCTGGAGCCACAGGGAGGGAAAGAGAACCAGGCTTTCTCCATCCCTGGTAAGCATAGCCTGGTCATGAACCTTCAGAAGACTGTAGCAAAGAAGGGCAGTCCTGATGTCCTGGCTCCAGGTAAATGGTGATGCACTGTGAGGAAAGGATTGCCACAGACTGCCACAAGCCACATTTCTTGCTCTTTGCGATGCCAAATGCTTGGACAAAGTGAATGCTTGACGAATACATGGACACTGTGTCACACTCTGATCTGCTCGGGCTCACGTTTATGATGGAAATGCATTGAGCACATGAATTAGTGTTATTACAATCATTGCCTGGAGACACAGCAGTTTTTAGAAAGCAATTATCTGTGAGCATCTTTGCTGCGTGCTGTTGTGTATTTGGCCGGACAGAAGGCTCTGCTTACTGTCTGACTGACAGTGAGCTAAGCTCTGTTTATTATCAGGGATTCACACTGAGATCTAATTACTGTACTTCCTTTTGTTGACAGGAGTGACATCAAAGAAATTTATATGTATATTAGATCTGTGTGTGCTTAAATGGGCCTTCTCTTTGTTGTTGTTGTCGTTTTTAAATTTATCCAGTTAGTTTTGAAATTAATCCGGCGGTTATCAATTTTTCTCAGCAGAGAGAACCTGAATTACATTAAAATTACTCCACATTCTAATCACGCTCTTTTCACTGTACCAGTAGTCGTTTGCTGTTTTTAATCAACTGATGTTACATTTTTGTTTTGGTCAGGATATTCTGGCCCCCTGAAGGAAATTCCTCATGAGAAGTTTAACACAACAGTAATCCCCAAATCCTACTGCTCCCCGTGGAGGGAAGCTTTGGGAGACAATGAGGAGCTCCTGAACGTTATCAATGCCCAGCTGCCCCAGCTCCCACAAGGACTGCAGCCCGCCAACTACAGGTGCTTCAACAGGTAAGCACGCCGACCTCTCGAGCCGTCGCCGAGGTCACCCAGATAAATCACAAACTGTTCTGGCGGATGCGTGCGTGTTGAGGCCAACCCATCTTCATATAGACCCGCAAATGACCTCATCGCACTATCCATCACCATCATCTCCTCCCTCGGCTCTGCTCCATGTTTCCACAGTTTGGAAATTAATCCAGTCTCTGGCTTGCACCTCCTTGGAGTGTGGCTGCGTGATGGCTATTTTGAACACTGGCTCTTGAAAGATGATCCACTGGGGGGGCTGCAAGCTTTTAATGGCTCACAAGACAGATTGCACAGGAACGGGAATCACCTTTCTCATGGCACACAAGGAACTGCATCACACGGGCGAGGCAGAACAAAGGTTAAGCTTGGGCAGATGGTGAAATGGAGAATATAGGAAAGACAAACTCGAGAGTTTACTGAATTAAAGCTGTCAGTCAAGAGGATTCTGCCAGCCAGTCTGGAGCTGTGGAGGGATCTTTTTACACCCTTAAGATTATTATAAAATTTTGAAGACTAAATTAAATCTGAGCTCAACTAATGGTCAGAGCAGCTACATGAGTAAGTTCACCACACATCCAGTCTGATTCATCCTAAATCCCTGATGACTTTTTTTAAACGGACCTTCACTTAAAAAACTCATATCATGTATCATGTAAGAGCTCCACCTCTATGTGATGGAGAGGTATGATACCTAGGGTCGTGTTCTGCCAGCAACATCAAACTCAATGTGTACAGCCTGCCTAATAAGGACTCTTCGTTGTTTCTCAGATCTCCAAGGCCATTTGGAGGCACTGTGGCCAGCAAGAGGGTGATCCCAGTGATCGGCTTTGAGGCAGTTGAATCCCAGAAGCTTCCACCCGTTGCTCCGGACCGCCTGTGTCGACGGCCCAACTTCAACAGAGCACCCAAGGGATGGGGAATCGATTACAGCCCTGAGTCGAATGAACTATGAAAATGAGTTGATAAGCTAAAGACTGAAGCACTGACTTATGCTTGCACTTCTCCTCCGACAAAGATGCCCTCCGTTAATCAGAGGGCACTGAAGGGGAGAGAAAAAAAATAACACTTGTGCATGATATGAAGTGGTTTGCTACTGCTGAGTGGTTTGACCAGCTGGGGCAAACGCCGAATGCTGGAATCAGTTCATTACACACACTGACAAGTCTCAAGACAATGCTGCCACAGGCTCATCAGTGATACCTATTCTTCCTGTCTGACACCTCTAGCGCTATCTGATCCCATCAATGTCTCAATAACAGACAGCCCTTTTCTTTCACACTGCAGCTTTACATCTTCTTCTCCACACACAACCACAAATTGCTGCATAAATAATGCCGAGTATCATATACTGAGATGATCGATGAGAAAAAATGAGTCATTTTAATGGACAAGTGAAAACAATTCAAATCCGAACAATAAACTAAGTCATTATGCTGTGGAATATTAAGATTGTGTCAAATAAAAAAAAAGTCAATGCAACTGAAAATGAAACAGGTTTAAAAATGTTCCTCAGAATGTTTCTCGCCTCCACGTGATACTACGCACAATAAGACAAATACAAGTTTAATCTAAAGAATACATTTTTATATATACACAACGGCTCCAACCACAGGAGCCCTTTAAACCCATGTAGCCAGTACTCTCATGTTTCAAGTCTTTCATTGCTATTGTTAATTTCCGCTGTTTAGATGCATTTCTGGTACTATTTAACTGCGAGTGGTGACCAGGTAGGATCCTGGTTGTCGTCTCTCCAGACACAGATGGTCTTTCAGTTCATTCGCTGCAGTGCAGGTTGCACAGTAAGAAATAAGAGCTATCTATGCAGTACATTTCTCCCAGAAGCAGTCTCTGTGTTTAAGGCTCACCGAGAGTATTTCAACTGAACACGTCTGAGCAGGTTTAACATTACAGAAGAATGACACCTAATCACAGCTTGATTTCATACTCTGGCAGCTAGTCGCCGTGACGTGAGCCGTGTGCAGCGTGGGCACCCATGCGCTGAGGATCCTGGGACGGGTAGTGGATTTGACCCGGAGGTCTCATGCTCATAGGAGGGGGAATCGGTGGGGCCATGGGACCAATGGGGTGAAACATTGGAGGGCCAAAACCTGATAGAGCAAAAGAAAAGAACATGTCAAGTATCTATTTAAAATTATCAACTGTAAATTAAATTTCACTATATTAAATTAGCACAAATGGTATAAGCCTACAGTGACATTCTGCAAAATCCATTTCAATAAGTCACCCAGGAATTTGAGTTTGCTTTTCCATTTTATACACTTTATTATGCACATGTTATACACTGTTAACTCTGGTGTAGACTTTAATGATGAAAGTTAGAATTTTACCTGGAGGAGGTGGGTTGATGCCTGGAGGTGGGGGCAGAGCGATGTTCATGACAGCAGGAGAGGAGCTGGGGTCTAGATTGAAGTAGTTTGCAGGAGCCTCTTCATCTAGAGCTGGTGGTGGAGGTAGAGCTAAACAAAGAGGAGCAAAGAGACGTGAATTAGGATGTGGAATTACAGCTGCAATGTATTTTTATTGCCTTACTTTGCCACATTTTGATCTGACTCCTAATTCTGCATGCACATATGCCAAAGTAGTTTCAATCAATGGGTTGAAACAACTCAACATCTAATAAATACATGTTACAAGATATTCAACTGCATCTTAACTTAAATTTGCATGACCATGTCACTATGGATCAACATCACATCCAAAAACTCTCCCAGTGTTTGCAGACTCACCTCCGGGCAGCCCAGGTACAGGATCCAGTCTGGTACCCATCTCACTGACACCATCTTTGATACCTTCCTTTCCTCTTGCTGCCTGAGACCTAAAAACACACCATTTCAGTTAGATGTACTAATGACATCCCTTTGTGAAACACCACTGAGAAGCCAGCAGCAGCATAGCAGGACAATAGAGTCCAGAAGTGAAAACCTGACATGTCCTGCCTCGCACACTTTCTGTATTATGATTAAACTCTTACTGCGTCTGTAATAGTCATATTCTAAAAGTGTCGCAGTCGGTAATTTACTGACAGATGTGACAGTGATGGTAGCATTACTTCAGGCTGTTACTTTCAAAACACTCATGCTTTCTGAACACCAATGGGTGTTTAATAAGCAAATTATAGCTATATATTTTCACACCCCCTCCTAAGTAATCTGTGCATGAGAGCTGAAAACTTTGATGAGATTGCAGGATGATCTTTTGGGGTTTTATCTACACAGTCCATGTCTGCATATGGTATTTTTAATAGATTCTGTGTGCGCTGGTCAAGTTGATAATGCACACATGGATGGCTAACTTTTCCCTTTGCAATCACTTTCTCACCTTCCCCACTTGACAGTTAGCCTCCGGCCATTAATGATGAGTTTGTTGAAGGACTTCTCGGCAGCCATCTCAGCTGACTGCCGCGTGGCAAACTGGATGAACGCACACTGCTGCCTTTGGACTATGGTAATGGTTCGAATTTCGCCAAACTGGTAGAAGTGACTCCTGCAATAACACAGACACAAGCTCATTAGAGCGAACATTTTGCAATCAAAAGTGTACAACGCAAAATTTACAAAGTATAAAAATCTAAATGATCACGGCAAGTTGCAAACGGACTGTTATGAAATCAATATCCTTACTTGAGATCTCCATCTGTGACGGTATCTCCCAAACCTCCAATGTAAAGGGTGGTGATGGACTTGTCCTCTGGTGGGTCCAGTCGAGGCATAGTTGAAGCCCGTTTTAGCAGCTTGTCAGCCACCGGGTCATTGATGCCATAATAACGATCCTTTATGTTCTGGTCGGCCAGAGGATCATCAGGATCTGTGGGCTTCTCGTGCCTGTGAGAAAAGTTCAATTGCGATTAATTTCAATTACTAAATATCTATGTTAGCGACAACAAAAAGTACTCAAATAAAATACGTAAAATCCATACATAAATCAAAATCAGACACAATCAGCTCTATCTTGCAAAGTCAAACCACCCCTATACAGCAACTGCAGACCATCATGTCACTCACCTGTAAGGACACTCCTCTCCTCTCTTACATTCTCCTTTGACCCAGAACGAGCAGATATGGGGCCGGTTCCTCTTGTAATAAGGAGTGGTCCGGGCCAGTTTGAGCAGCATATCACTTGAGCTTGCAGCTTTACCAAGTTGGCCCACCGGCCGTGTGCCATCAGAATTGGCTATCTGCAAACACAAATAGAATTGAGGGATAGATGGCAGAAAAAATGTTGAACATATATATCTAGTTAAGGATGTTCCAAATTGAGCCCTTTCCACTGATACTGTACTTGCACCAAACCAATAAAGTGTTGCTGGTTGAAAGAATGCATTAAATGAGTTTGAAAGGAGAGCTGTAATGCAGCTTATGATTCCCTAAAACATATTCACTTTTTTTTTTTTTTTTAATGTAGGTAAATGATTGGATCGGACACTGTGTCAAGAGTGATAGGGAAAGATACAAAGACAAACTGTGACATCATCACAACTCGTGTATGCTATTGCAATTGAACGTAACAATTATACCTCTCTCTCCATGTTCTGTGTGTAGTATTCTTTATTCACATCTGACTTTGGAACCTCATCTTTAATAGAGAGCCCTGTGTCTCGGACCTGGATCGGCAAACCTGCCAAAGACAACATGCAAACAAGATGGTTAAACTCACAGCTATATGATACAGGGGCCCACAAAGCATGCACATCAGGTGGAAACAATCAGTGACGCACCATACTCCAGGTCCAACAGACATGTCTGACAAACATTTTTCATTTTACTGCAGGTCTGACAAACTTCTGTCTTCTTGAAGCGCATTCGTGTCCCCGGACACCATCGGAACACAGTAAAGGGTCGGGCACAAATCTGTTGGGCAAAGAAAGGAAAATTATAGATACTGTTCAATGGAAATTGAGTTTTAAGGATGAGTTAAACTATAATGTGTGCTGCATTCACATGATTTTAAGTGTTGATGCAAAACATACCTTGCATTCCTTCCCATACTTCTCCTTGGTCTGTAAAACAAAGCATGGACAGATTTGCAAATGCACACCAAATGGTATAAACACTACAATAAGATAACCTCATTATGACGACATAGGAATGCTCACTCACCATACGGATGTATGGATTTTCTCCTAAACATGTCTGACACAGAATTGGAAAGTCCTGGAAGAAAAGAAAACCACATGTTCAATTAATTAAAAACACACCTAATCTTTTAGTCATCCCCATATCTGCTATTCATCCAACAGTCCCCAGGTGTGAGGTATCTGAAGCAGTAACTTGGCCTCTCATCTCTTTTGCCTTCTGCTGTGGACACCTTGGCAAGGACACACGTGTGAATAGAAGGAGTGCTATAGGACTTGCTCACGCCTACTTTACCATCTGTTGAAGGATGCTGTTTCAGTCCAAGTGCTAGCTGCTGAAAATGACCAAGCCTTAATCCATCCTACTGACAGCATCAGCCAAACACCTAAATATAAGCAGCTCTTGTGGCTCTAACATCAACTACATATTCTAGGGTTGCAAAGTTTATAGTCTGATGTCTTAATAAAACCAACATTGGTCCAATGCCCTGTTGTGTCATGTCTCAAATAAGTTTTAGTTACCTTATATAGTAGAGTTATGGACCTTTCAGAGGGTTAAGAATACAGTTTCGTGTTACGCAAATGAAGAGTGAGTCAAAACTACGCATATATACATGACAACTTCGTGTAAACTCAAATGCTAGGTTATATCAGTTTCCACAACAAATGCGAGCCTGTCTGTATGACTTTAGCTGACCAAAAACAAGCTCGGTTTGTCCTGTTTATTCTACCCTAATAGAATACTTTGTACTTTAATAGCCCATTACATCAGCACCATAACGCAAGGTAATTCTGCACGTTAAATAACATTAATCTGTTGTAAACTTCATATAAGCAAGTGAGTAGAAAGAAGTAATTGGATTTTTGTTTTATTTCTGTATTTTTGACAGATTACAATTCTTCTGATAATGTTGTCTTACCCGCCAGGCAAGCAGGTTTGGGCATTTTCTATGAGCGGCTGCTATGCTAACGTTACATCTCTATAGCAGGAGCGTACAATTCTGATGAGCTAACGAATCAAAAATCACAGGTATCTCCATTGTTGTGTGTCTGGCACGGTTCTCTCCATCCGTTTTGGGGATTCACTTTTAATCGGGACGTTTCAGAATTGTTAGCCCGCTAGTGCTAAGCTTCACTAGCATAGAGTGCTAACTGTAACGGTTCTTGGCTAGGTTAGCTTTCCAAAGTTTGTTTGGAGCCCAGTTTCGGAAGGTATCGCCCTTAAGCTGTAGCTCGCCGTTGCTGGATCCGGGGAACTTGATTATGTTCTTGTTATTGTTCACACTGAAACTAGCTACGTTATAAGGATGTATGCTACAGAAGATAGCAGCCACGCTGCTACACCTAGCTACCGCTAGCTAACGGAAGGCTAACTAGCCACCAAGCAAATCGAC